GCAGTAGACGTTAGATGAGCGCTGTCGCTCCGCGGCACTTGTTTTCTAAAGCAGTCTATATTAGCACCCTGAGTAGCACCCTGTATTAGCACACTGTAATGAACCCTGAATGCTCGCGTGGGTAGGGAAAAACATGGGGGCAGTCCATTACGCATGCATGGGGGTGGACTGGCACTATTCTAATCATAATTATTGCCTGGCAACCTGCAATGCAGATGTGTTAACTCGCAGCTGAGCGAAATTCTCGCCTGCCTGAATATACTTGGATTTCAGCAACTCAATGGAGTGAGGTTATCACGCGCAAAGGGTGATGCCATCTTTGATTATTGATGACACTTGCACGCGCCATTTCGCGGCAACTGCTTTTGCTATTAGAGCCTCCTCCACCCGCCCCCTCCCCCCACTCTCCCACCACAACCACTACGCTCGCGCTCGACGCATATCCATGATAACATGTTAATATAGAGAAGTCATTAAAGTTACGCAGCTGTATCTTTATTACTGTACTACCGGTTGAGCAAAGCCTAGCTATCATAGATTTTAGATCTGTATTAGTAGTATCCTAGATATATGATCTGAGCGCGAACGCGGTGATGGGAGGGTGCTCTTCATTCGTTTGCCAGTGAGTTTAGCATCAGAACACCTGCCGTCAGGTGAGCGCTGTCGCTCTGCGGCACTTGTTAGTAGAACAATTCTTTTTTTTATCTTTTTTTTTAACTTTTGGTTTAACAGGGGGGGCATGGCCCCCTTTGGCCCTCCCTAACTACGCCACTGTTGCCTACCTCAGTCTAAGAAACCTCCATATTCCACCTATGCTACATTTAAGATTTCTTGCAGAAATGGAAGTGCTTTCTTTCTTGTAAAAAAGAGAGTAAAAATGAGTGGATGTGGTATTTTTACACATACACTTCATACCTATGCACAAATTAATAATATCTGTTTTTTAATACACGCCAAAATTGCCAAACACCACCGATAAACAAACAAAAACACTTTTAAAATTGCTTATAGAGCCATGACACAAGCCAGAGGTGCGAATATACGTTGTTCTGTCCCAGGGACAGAGTTATATTAAATATTTTGAATAAATATTTTGAATATATTTCATTTAAATCTATCGACTGCTTCTAGCTTTACTAGAATTATCTAGTAATAATTTCGAATGTAATGGTTATTATGTATTTGGTTGAAGTATACTGACTACTGTGATTACTACTTGTGCCTATGTACTTTTATTTAGCGTTTATTCTGTCTTTTTGCAGGCTCAACCTGTTCAACTATGCGTCAACTAAAAGGCAAAGTGAAGGAGAACAAGAAAGAAAAGCGTGAGAGGAAACTGGAAAATGTAAAGGGAAAAGAAATGATAATGAAGTTTGTCATCCCCACTCTGGTTGTAATTGCCATGGTCGTCGCTCTCATTGTGTATGCTGGCACGAGACCAAAGGTCTAACTCTCTATTCTAAGACTATTTCGTAATAATCTTCTCTTTGTTTGGTGCTGGACATACTCTCCTAACTATATAAGTGCATAGCGTTCTCCTGAGAGTTAGTGGTACATATCAAGGATTCGTCTGATCTTCTCTCTATATTCTGTATAGTCTCTAAAATAACAACTATAATGGTGAAGCTACAAGTAAAGTATCGAGACGAGCTGCAGTTTCTGTACGAGACCGTCGTCGACACGCCGGTCGGCGACATCCTCAAGGAGGTGGTGGCCATCTATAACGGGAGGCTGAAGGTGCAGCGGCTGTGCAGTGACATGGAGGAGCTAGCGAGTCACGGCGTCGTGATTCCGCACGAGATGCAGGGTCTCACCGACGAGCAGGTCCACGAGCTGAAGCTCAGGGACGAGTGGGTGGAGAAGTGCGTCCCCAGCGGCGGATACGTCGAGAGCAAGGACCCGATTGGCCGACGGAACGGCAGGGCCCCGAACGAGAAGATGGCGGGCGTGATCACGAGAACGGTCAGCGAAGCGAAGGCTGAAATCTCAAAGAAGCAGGCGGAGGCGAGCGTGTGCGTGACGCAGACGATGATCGGTGATGCCCTAGACCAGCTGCGTGGCGCCAGTATGATTGTCTACCCGATGGGACTGCCGCCACACGACCCTGTACGCATGGAGATCGAGAACAGGGAGGACCTTACTGGAACTCAGGTGACACGTTTAATCGAAATATTCAGTCTGTACGATCGATACGGTCGCCGATGTGTTTGTTACATCTCGAACAATGATATAAGATGCTGAAAGTAATATATTGGCTCCCAAGCACTCGTTTTGGATGCCTGACTGCCATTTCCCGCAGAATTGCATAATCTAGACCTGATTGTCATGTTAATTTCTAGACTAAGACTAGACGAAGTTCCTTTTTGCCCCACACAGGCCTCGCAGGAAGTGATTGACCCAGCTCTGGCACAGCTCTGGTGGGCAGGGAAGGAGCTGCAGCACGACAAAGCTCTACAGGAATACGTTGGTAAAAACGAGAAGACCAAGATTGTAGTAAAGCTGAATAAGAGAGGTTTGGGGGCACCAGCAAGGGAACCCATCTGTACTGAGGAGCAGAAGAAGCAGATGATGCTGGATGCATACCGGAGGCAGGAGCAATTAAAGAAATTAGAGGAAGGTAATGATGAATCGTACTTGGACAGTGACTGGTCAGACAGCACTGCTCTTAAGAAGAACTTCCATGGAATGAGCAACGTCAAGTGGCGGATGTAATGTAACAGCAGCAGCCAACGCAATCTACTCTTTTCACTAGATCATAAACTGAAGCCTTGTCGTTATGAAGTGCTTTGGAGTTTGCTCAAACATGTCAGTGTATATGTCATGAATTTTTAGCTATGCCAGCTTTTATAACTATGAACTGGATATGAAATGCACCTGGTAATATGGACTTCTTATGAATAAAATAATGAAGCATTTTTATTATAATCCTTCAATAATTATACTGTTTCCTGTAACTATGAAAACTTGTGTCTATGTATACTCATGAACATGTGTATACATATTTTCATACTGCAACTCATAGTAAACAATACCAATACTATTTGAAGAAAATGAAAACGGTTGCCATCAAACTAGTACCAGTCCCGCTTTCTACAAACACATAAAATGAGGAGAATCACTCGTACCAGAGTTTTGTATACTCTTGGCCTTTTCGTAAATATTGAACGTTTAAAAACGGTTGCTCAATATATACATTGTGTAGATGTGCTGTGTTCCCTCTTTTCTCACATTACAAGCACAAACATTGGCGTTTAATCAAAATCGTGTGCTGTACCATAGGTGCAGTTTGGTGCAACAAATCGCAAAATTGCTCGCAACCCGAGTTGAAAGTACTGTATAACTTGGTAGCTCCATCGTGACATAGAACGTGATCAGTGTAAAAATAACCCGCCTTCTCTATTCCACGATGTGTAATTTCAATTCAAAATCGGTTTTCTGTTGTGTTTACAATTGAATGTTAACTCGTGTTTAGTTGGTATTATAATTCAGTATTATCAGTGGCAGTTAGTTGCCTATTTACATTATACAAGAAAAATGAATTGTCAACTGTTACTCAGCTATGTGTTACTAGTACAGTAGTACACATACATGGCTAAGAATTTATGTCATATAAGATTAACATTTTTTTACCAAAAAGTTACTTTTAGATTTCATGAGTATGTGTATAGAGTAATGGGTGCTGGGTTTGTGCACCAGACCATAGAGAATATGAAGTCACTGATCAGTTCGTTCTGATACTTGGTATCCTTTTGTTTTCATGCATGTTCTGAATCATAGCCATGTGTTGTGTTGCACTAACTGTGTAAATTAAATGTTGGAGTGGTATTTGTGTGTGGCGTCTTAATGGCACAGGTTAAAGTTATTGGTTTGAGCTCTTTTTAATAGAATTCTTTGATATTTGCATACCAACTATCAATTTTTCACGGTTTTAAACAAAAAAAAACTTGTGTTTGAGGAAACAGGTATTATCTTAACTGTCATTTGTATCTTTTGTTTATATTGAAAGGGAAAATATATAAACAATGTAAACTTTTTAAATTGATATAAATCTTGATAGCATTTATTACTAAAACGTAATAGGATCAACATAATGGTATGGAAATCATGTATATTCCATTATTTATTCTGGAATATAGATTCCAACTAACTAAGTGGTGTTGTTGCAGTTACAATTTTCACATTTTTTACAACCATTATTCACCTCTATAGACTCTGAAATAACAACATTTGCGATGTTCTCCACGGCTACTGGTGTCTCTTTCACTGCGGTTTTATCCTCCGTTTCCATGCCAGTTTTTCTAGGCCGAATACGGTGCTTGGTGACCAAATGTGGAGGTTTATGTGTGGGATGGTTTGGAGTCCACGGGCCAAGACTGTTATTTGAGTAAAAGTCCATCGGATACCTGTCGTGCCAGGCCACCTCTGACAGTGCCACTGATGCCTAGATGTAAATAATGATATGCACTTATTTTAAATGACAAACAGAGATTACATTCTTATCAATATGTTCATGTAATTTGGGACTACATGCTTATCAATATGCTCATGGAATATGGGACAACATGCTTATCAATATGCTCATGGAATATGGGACAACATGCTTATCAATATGCTCATGGAATATGAGACAACATGCTTATCAATATGCTCATGAAATATGAGACAACATGCTTATCAATATGCTCATGGAATATGAGACAACATGCTTATCTGAGAGGAATGTGAAAGGAGACTGTAATGATGTGCTCACCTCGTACGGTGTGAGCAGAGGTTTTGAGAAGGCAGTGCCCCAATCTATGGAGAGTCTTGGACATGCGACCTGCACCCAGGCATCGATGTCTCTAAACTGCCGGAGCTTGTCGGGGAATATCTCCGAGAGCAGCACAGTGACGTGATCAATACCTCTGCTGTCCAGTGTTTTCTTGAGATGCTGAAACAGTACGTAGTAATGAGTGCGACTAATCGAAATAATCAAATCACAAGCGAGTCGAATAATTACAACCTATATCAGTAACGCCAGCTTTGATATATTATCAATTATTGCACTTCAGTCGAGTAGCCAAATAATCTGAAATTCTTCCTTTCTCGCGATACCTCCATTATCTTTGGTGAACCCTGCCTGCCAAGCGTTCCAAGAATAATGCCGAATTTCTTGGCAGATCGAGACTGGGTGATGGCTGTCATGCGGTTTTTCAGCATCTGCGCATGATCATAATGTTCCACCAAAAACTCTTTGTTGTATGGATCATACCTGCACATGCACGAATCTAAGTAATTGGGCATAATTAAAACATCAGAGTTGGGTCATATTATATAAGATTTAATTACATTGTTAACTGATGAACAAAAACTGATACAGAGGCAATACACAGCAAGGAGCCTGCTTAATTTACCTGTCTAATGCCACGCTAATAAATTGCTGGAGAAGTGTAACAGGAAGAAGTTGGCAGAATGCTCGAAACAGGCATATGAGAATAGGGAATTGTGAAAATCTCTAAACCCCTTCCACCCTCAGTATCTTGCTTAGATGGATAGGTCAATTATAATAAAGCTTAATAATGTTCCATTACAAATTCGCTAGATTATTAATAGACGCTCGATCGTTCACTATTGAAATTACTGGTCAGCTAAGTCATGGAATTTCTACACTGATTATATTGGAGAAGATGTGATATGGTACCTATAAGCAGATATTGAAGGATTGGCTATCATGATGGATTCCAGATGAAATCTTCCGTCACCCAAGTAGCTGTAAAAAAGTGCAACGTGTTTCTTATTGAATAATACAAATACTTTTACAACCTACTACCAATACAGTAATAATTATGCTAATATGCTAATTGTGCTTTGTATGCTCACACAGATTTTCTGAATAATCTATGAAAAGTCTATTATATAGATAATTATGTTTGTCATTTATGACTGCATATGGAGCATGACTTACATAATAGCATCAGCATCTGGTACAAGTGGAGAGGTACAGCCAAGGATCTCCCCTGGAGACAGTGGCTTGCATTGAGGTATTTGCACAGTGTAGTCCTCTGACAGATCCTCTTTGACACTCTTGAATATATTTAAATACAATCAGATATATTTAACCCCTGTGTTTGTTGATAATGATAGCATACACCAACTAGATGGGTATCTATCATTAGTTATGCACATTTGTCTGTTTCACTGATTTGTTATAAAAGAGACAATTTGTGAGCAGTATTTAACAAATGGTAATCCACATTACAAAACTAACAAAAATGAAACCAACAATGGCATTAAATGACTTGTACTGGTGTGCAGCCATACCCATGACAATGTCGGCAACTAAAGCTGGGTTTACACTATCGACTTCATGCTGACAAATTGTGGAATTGGAGCAATTTCCCAAGCTCAATCAACGGTTCTATGAGCAGTTCAAAGCTTTTACGTTATCAACCGCGAGTCGGCAAACATCCATAAGTCCATAGTTCCAGCATAAAGTCGTAGTGTAAACCCAGCTTAAGTGAATTACCTGCAATGCTGCAACAAATTGGATCGTGCTCACTAGCACTAGCCGCGACTTGCACGGAAAGTTGTGTCGCACGGTCTCCACGAAATGCAGGGTATCAATTTTTATGTCAACAAATACGTAGAGCATGTTGATCCCTGACGTTTGATCCACCGTGACTACAAACACCAGAAAATGCACATGATTTTACTAAAGCTTGACCACCAATGAACAATAAACAAGGAAAGAGGACGTGAAACTAGGAAAATCAGCTAGGTGCTCATGACACGAGACAATTCTTATGAGTTACCACATCCCACAACACTGTTCGAGTAAAGTGAAGTGCTACGGCTTTATTTGCAGAGAGAAATAGCTATTCCAGTCTGTATGTGTTAATATATTGGCACTTTGTAGAAGATATACTCACTTAGACAACTGTGCCCGTAGTGTACCATGAGATCTGCACCAAGCGCTCGGGCTGTGTAGTCATCCACACAACATGCTCCGTACGTAACATCAGCCATCACCAAGGTCTCTGCTCCTGAAAACCTGAAGCAAACCTGAACTGTCATGTTCTTTTTTCTGTCCGAGGTAAACCATACTTTGTAATAATAGTCCCTAAGTATCATTCATATATGCCCTGCTGATGTGTGTAGAGTGATTGATATTCCTATACTTCTTTCATACGTTAGTGAGCTATTGGCCTATAAAATTGTCGAGCGTAGTTGTTTTACTGACAATGCCAAAACGTGATGACCTAAAAATTAATGTACAATATGTATTCAGTCTGGCTTTCCAATAATTTAACACACTCTGATTAACAAATGTGTAGTGTAATCAGACAATATGACAACAGAGAGTATAGAATACCAATGAAACTACACAGAACCAGGTATACATATCACCAGGTCACATATGTAAGGAAGATTTTAATTCTGTTTTTATTTCACCCTAGATGACTAGGCAAATCAACAAGTTTGTTTATTTCAGTAGATATGCATTACTCTTCGATATTTACATTATACAACCCTAATAAATATTTATGTATGCTGTAGGTTTTAATAGAATAAAATATAACTGTCAAAAACATCTTTATAATTTATTATATAGTTGTTCCTGACAGTTATATAGTTAATTTTGATTACACATACTTCTCAATAATGTCGGCAATGGTACAGGCAAACATCAGCAAACCCTCAGGGAACTGCAATGCCACTGAAAGATTGATAAAACCTTCATCTTAAATCTTTATCAAATAAATTTTACAAGGAAACCATTTTCTCCATCAAATAGACTGTCATACAATTATTTTGACTTGAACATACATCATAAAATACATCACGACATATCAGCAGCTGGTTTTAATAAAGTTTGCTACAGTTGAAAAGTTTGCTAAATACACTAGAGGTATATAGGATAATAAGATACAATACTGGTAAACTAAACATAATTAATATGTTACAGTCCATAAGAAGTACAATCTATTCTTTAGTAATTAACTACTTCCTCTTTGTATGTTTTCTATCCCAGATTTAGTCTAGAATTCTGAACAGTTTGCATGATTTTAATTTTATATTATTTACTCATTTATTAAATGGTCCTCCATATTATAAGCATTCAATGCATGAGTTATAACACAAACGTATCTATACAATGTACAGATATGTACATATGTGCATTGTACAGATATCTTCGTGCTTATAGGCATTTATACTTGAACAATTTAATCTTGGTGCCTTGTTCTCTATTGATTTACTACACGGATTATATTATTGTGCTTATCTTATATATTAAAATTGGTAGTAATTATCAAAAATAGCTAAATGTAAAACACATTATTTGGGTCTGATATGATTATAGTATAGACCCAAGTCTTGATTAATTTAGAAATGTATGATGATCAAAATCAACTGACTACTTTATATATATGCTAGTTTAAATAGGCAATCAATTATTCATGATTTAGTAACTAATGAATTGCAACCAATATGAATAGTATGACACATTGTTTCAAGGTTACCTTTACGTGAACCTGTTCGTTTTATTTTCCATATTGTCTTGGGAATTTCAAAGTTGTAGTTGGGTGGTAGCTGAAATATAATATTCTATACATAAATAACAATATACCTTATAAATATTTTTCAGAATTATCACAAAGGGTCACTGGATGGCAAAAATAATTAACAGTTTCCCAACTTGCTAAAGCTGGGTTTACACTTATAAATTTTAGTTAAAACGTTGACAAATTGATCAAATTTGTTCGTGACTTCAATACAACGGAGTACAGTACCTGTAAAATAGCTTTTTGCAGTTCTTCATCATTCAAGATTTCTTCTGGAATTTGTGATACTCGTTTTATTCCTGTAAAAATTATTCAAAAGGTTCCATTTAAAATGTACTCAAAAGCTATGTGCTTGAGTAATTTTCAGGTGCTGTTATACTGGTATGATGGCAAATGATATTGTTATATCAATATATTATAATAACATATAAGCTAATTAGCTTTTGTATACATACTCTTGTATGATATTTGAATTAATCTACATTCTTGTCTGTGTGCACGCATGCGTGCATGTGCGCATACATGTCTGTGTGCCTCTGTCTGAGTCTTTGTCACTGTCTGTGTCTGCCTGCATGTGTCTGTGTGTCTCTGTGCTTATCCATCTGTATATTTCTGTCTCTATGTGTGTGTGCGCATGTACGAGTGTAATGGCAAACAAAAAAGGAATAATTTGCATCATATATAAGTTATATGATACATACAGCCTAACACAAGCGTGGCTGTTAGGCACCTAGAGCAGAGACTGTATACAATAAGCTGGGACAGTTCCTACACTCGCCACATTCAAATTACATCCCACGTGTGACACTAGCACCGACCAACAGCGAGTAAATAATTGAGTAGCGGTATCTGTAGGATACCAAACAATAAATAACAACAATGGCGTGTAGAGTGTTAACCGTAAATGGAGATACTTAATTGTACAAAGCAAGATGATTGATTGAAATTCGCTGTATTGGTAGATTTTTATTCAAGTCCATGTTGTTATAGGTAGCTTGTACAAAACTGCACCGGAAATCATTAATAAAACACGCGTTTTTGGACTAGAGTGCATAACAGGCTGATGACTTATAAGTGAACTCTGTATACTCTTATTATCTGCATGTAACTGTGTTAGCACAAACTGCACAGCTGGTGCAGAGAGATACTCTGACAGTGAGATGACTTATTTTTTCTCAACATTACTCCTGTGAGATTTTAGTGATGTATGCGGCTTGGGTAGCATTTGTTTGACAGCAACTTATTTTGTGCAGGGCTGCAAGGTCTTTTTTAAGTGTTTGTTCACCAGTATTGTAGTGGCATAGTTAGCCTACATTTGCATGCTACCCATGTAGCCCAGTAGATGGCGCTCGCGCTCGCCTTTCGCACGCTCTATTCCATCTTTGTTTTGTTGTTTTGCTTGTATGCCAGTTGTTCTGGAATAAAGCCGGTTTGTTCCACTGAGTAGCTCTTCGTATGTGTGTGTAATAATTAGGGCTGTAACGATCCACCGAAATCGAATCAAATCGTGATTCTCTTCCCTCGATCCGATCCTCGATATTTTTCCCCGTATTTTCGATTCGATCCAAGCTGCTCCAATTTTTAAACTGTATGCATCGGCCGAAGTGTGTATGAGACGCATGCTCCGATTGGTCAATAGTCACGACTCGCCAGTCAGCTAATCAGCGGCTACAGCACATCGCTAACACGTTGTTTACATGGCTCAGTTTAGCTAAAAAAGCTAAGCTTACTCATCCGACCCAGCATTAAAGTATTAAAGTATTAAAGTATTAATAATTGGCCATCAATCATCTCCCTAGTGGCGGTGAGACTTCTTTTATTGGGTGATGGCTGGAAGCATGGAGCTTATCAGGTTTTGAATATGTGCTGTATCAAATTTAAATATACCACACGAACCATGCAGCGGCATCATCCGGCATGTACATGTACTGATCTGCAGCTACAGGAGCCTACACAGTCGGTCCATGACATGATGTAGATTTCGTTAATAGCATGTGGGGGTAGAACCTTTAATTAAAATTGACAGAGGTCTTGTTCAGGGACAGGGTGTTGCCTATTCTTCATTTCTAGCAAGAAATACGTTGTGCCTATGAATAGCAAGAAGCCTATGAGTATGATTATGAATGTGTTAGCACATGGCATAATCATAGGACTGTGACAAACAGATTACAATTTAAAACTACAAATACAATTATTGAGTCAATAATGAGTATTAATTGAGGCTGAGAGGGTCTATGTCCCCCAGGGTACTGCCAGAACGTACCCTGGTACTATCTAATATGCCGGACCGTACCTCGCCTACTCCACTAACGAGTCTATGGAGTCACCTACGCCTACTCCCTAACCCTAACCATATCAAATAGTGACCAGGGTACGTTCCGGTATACCGGACCGTACCCAGGGTACGTTCCGGCAGTACCCCTGGGGGCAGGGGCGTCACAACATGATTGGGGGCCTGTAAGCAAAAATGAAATTGGGGCCCTAAACATGAATATTTTTTGATGGACCGTGCGCCGCAGGCTCACGGCACGAGTGCCGGAGGTAGGAAGTGTGAAGGGGCGTCTGGGGGGTCTACCCCCCATAAAATTTTGAAATCTAGACGCCCTAAAATGCTATTTCCACTCTTCCAGCATTCTGAGGCTATTTTAAAAGTAAATTTTAAAAAAATTGGGGGGGATAAAGTTTGGGGGCCCCTTTAGGCTGGGGGCCCGTAGCGTTTTCCTACGGCAGCCCTACGGCTGTGACGCCCCTGCCTGGGGGACATAGATCCTATGAGCTTAGCCTTAATTGAGTGTAGGGGCCCTACCGAAAGTGACAACAAAACAGTGTCCGTGTACATGCGGCTAGCGACAGGGCGTCATCCCTATGTTACGGATGCGCGATTCACCCTAGCGGCGAGTTATGGAACTAAAACCATGTACAAGTACATTTGATAAACATGAATTTTACATTTTACCCTAACCCTAACCCTAACCCTAACCCTAACCCTAACCCTAACCCTAACCCTAACCCCTAACCCTAATCGCGCATGCGTAACATAGGGATGACGCCCTGTCGCTAGCCGCATCTTGTCCGTGTCAGTGAGCGTAATTTGTATTTGTAATTTGTAGACGTTGGACACAAACACTTTAGAAATTTAAAAAGATACTAATATTATTCGGTGCGATATACAGCACCTCTCACCTTTACCACCGGAAAAGTGCTTTTTACTCGTTTTGGCAGAAATTACAACAGGCAAATGAGCCTGAGCCTGAGGCAATACAGTTTCACTGGGTGCTGCCATCTTGGAGTTTGCCCTACTGCGGCGTTAGTATTGTTAGAACTCGCTAAAACATATACTATGTTAAGATGGAAATTTTTTGTGCTTTGATAAATAATTCTGAATTTTAGTTTGGCATATACTTTAATAAATTTCTAATTAAAATTACGGATGCTATTTATGATATTTATGCAATCGAAGCGCACGATATTGTACGATACGTCTCGCCCTCGGTACAGTCTTCCGACTCAAAATGATTACAAACAATTTCGTCAGTTCATGACTTCACGTATTTCTGGAGAAAAATAGCGATATTGCGATCATATTTCAAGTCTGTAAAAACTGTAATCAACGCACTTGCGTGAGAACCGGTGATATATTATAATATGGCTAGTACATCCGAATCTGAAGGACAGAAAGAGGGAGACGACCCGGAAGATGCGAACAAGTCTAATCCCAGTCAAGATGGCACATTCGAGTGTAACATATGTCTAGATACAGCACACGATGCTGTAGTTAGCATGTGCGGGCACTTATTTTGGTATGTACTAATTGCTACTAGTAGGCGTCGTACGCCATGGGACCCACTAACTAAACCAAAGGGTAGTGTGTTACATGATACATCATGCACACAATCTACCTAACCACCTGGCACCTCAACATTCGGTTCAAGGATAGAGATTAGAGAACATGGGTCCCAATAAAACCAATGTAATTTACATCAATATAAATATAATATTACATCAATATAATAGGTTAGGGTTATGGTTAGAGTTAGGATTAGGGTTAGGATTAGGGTTAGAATTAGGGTTTGGGTTAGGTTTAGGCACATTGGTTTTATTGGGACCCATGTTCTCTATCCTTGGGCCCAACATTCCACAACTCACAAGTGCACAACAAATACAAATGCATCATTACAATTTACATGTCTGAAGGCTGGCCTCCGTCTTTTTCATTGACTTGTAACTTTGTATATTAAGTTCGTCAGGAGTCGTCAAGTAGCGTAATTTATTAGGTAGTGTGCCTGCATGGCGTGACATAGATACAATAATGTAACCCAAACCCAGGAGGATAGGGTTACAAAGCGTCCGTATGGTTTTGTGCGGAGGAACGCCTGAGTGAATCACTCAGGGCGGTTTGCTAGTGCGTTTTCAGAGACTAGAACTTCCAAACTGGGTTTATTCTAAACACGAACCTTTCTCTGCTATCCGGGAACTTACTATGTATCACAATACTCTGTATTAAACTAATATAACCTGTTACAAAAATTCGAAGTGACGAGCGGCGAATATACTGAGCGCATTTCTGTTGACCTGTGACGTACTTCGGTTTGAAGAGCGGATTCACCGACCAATTGGAGGGCGCTGCGTTTGCCGATCGCTATGCGCATTGGGAATGTGTACGTCACAGGTCAACAGAAATGGCGCTCGAAATATCCGCCGCTCGTCACTTCGAATTTTTGTAACAGGTTATATTAGTTTAATACAGAGTATTGCGATACATAGTAAGTTCCCGGATAGCGGAGAAAGGTTCGTGTTTAGAATAAACCCAGTTTGGAAGTTCTAGTCTCTGAAAACGCACCAGCAAACTGCCCTGAGTGATTCACTCAGGCGTTCCTCCGCACAAAACCATACGGACGCTTTGTAACCCTATCCTCCTGGGTTTGGGTTACATTATTATATCTAGGCGTGACACACTAGCCAACGAAAGAAACGTGAATTTGATTATCAATATTAACTTCAAACTTAGAGAAATAGCGAAGGTGGGTAGGACTGTTTCTTTGAAGTTGAATAAAATGGTTTGAACATAGGGTACTCACTTGTCATAATTATTCATTATTACATGGTGGGTGTTCTAATTGACATCTTGGTACAAATTCACTCTGTACTGTAATGTGGTGGCCCGCATTTTAATACTACAGCTTGCCACATTTGCTGCTCTGGTTTTTCTTGGGATTCACTGCTGACAAATGAGCTAGGTTCAGGCCAGGTACTGATTTTTAGGGGTCTTCACTTTCCCAAGTGAGAATACATTTCCAATTAATTTCCTCAGTTTTAAAACCTAAGTAACCTTAACCATAACACTAGCTAATTTGGATCAAGGATAGTTTGGGACGCCGCAAATGTGTTTTAGCATGTTACCTAAACTAGGATTGGGACACTAATTCTAACATTTAATGTAGCAGTTTAGTTAAAGGTTATACAGTATTCGTTCAATTCTACTTTAGATGTACAATTTTTAATGACGGGGTTAGGTTAGGCTTATGGTTCAGGGATAGGGTCATGTTGCAAAACGCTACAATAATAATGATTTATGTAATGTGGTTACAAAGTTAGATGGAGCCGATCAATGAATTGTGTCCTAGAAATTTGTGCTAAATAGCTCTAGATACTATGGGCACAATCTCTTTCTCTGTAACCCTTCAGTCTCCTAAGACACAGGTTGTGAACTCCCTCCATGTTCCTCGGTTGGTCACCTTCCGCTCCATTTCCCTCCAGGTGTAACCTTTCTTCTTGAGTTCCACCTCCGAATCTCGCTTCCAGGTTGCTTTAGGCATTTCTACCCAATGTCTTCCTTGCGGGTTCCAGCTCAGCGCCATGCATGTTATGTCAGTCGTTTCCTTCCGCAGTGTGTGGCCCACCCAGCCCCCCAGCCCCCTGGGCTCAATAGACTTGCATATATTTAGTACAGCGGGGAACTAATTTAGAAAAGTACATAAAATCTGTTACGGTAATTATTTTCTCGTGTGCTTTATATAAAGCTGGGTTTACACTACCGACTTTATGTTCGCGAAATGGCGAGTTGGACCAATTTCGCAATTCGGCAACTCCAAGTTGGCAAAAATAAAACATGGTCTAACCTGCCAACTAGTTGCTATCGATTGGTTGGTCGCCCAACTTTTGTGTTTACACTGCCGATTGTCGGTTGTATAGTTGGGAAGTTGGTCCAATTCGCCAACACAAAGTCGGTAGTGTAAACCCAGCTTCAGACCAATTCCAACTGAGCATGTTACACTCTACATTATCTAATGTTGCATTGCTAAGGACATAAATTACTCTATTCTGTCTAATTTAAACTAAATTTTACTTACACGTGACAGCTTTCAAATTTTCTAATTTGATATTCATGATTTATATGATCTAAAATCTGACTCCCACATTGCAGTTGGCCATGTCTACATCAGTGGTTGGAAACGAGACCAAATCGGCAAACATGCCCAGTTTGCAAAGCAGGAATTAGCAAAGAGAAGGTTGTACCCCTCTATGGAAGAGGAAATGCGAAGCAAGAGGACCCTAGGTTAGTCAGTGATATTAAACATTAGTTATTACATTCAGTTAACCTCAGTGTTAATGTAAATTTCAAGCAGTTTTACTATGCATGAAATCAGGTTATATTTGATAGAATATTTTAGGGTTGTCAAAAACAGGGATCTATATGTTTCAGGACCAAAGTCCCACCACGGCCACAAGGTCAGAGAACTGAGCCTGAAAATAATGGGGTAAGCAAATGAAGTTGATGATGGCTAACTTCTACTAGCGAAACTATCAATTGGGCAATAATAATATACAGTACCATTTGGTGATTGATTGTGTATTGATTTTAGCTGGACCTATTAAATCAACATGTCCACATCTTGTCTTGATGATTTTTTCACGTCTTTTGAAGAATTTCATGTGAAATAGCACGTGTCTGTAGTAAAGTTAAAGTGTGAGGAAAGAGATATTGCCAGAATTCTCCTTTTAAATTTCTGTTTTGTAAATCACAACAGCCTAAATTCTTAGTGATTATCAAGTTTGTGTAATTGGTAGTATATCCACTAATAGGTTAGACTGTATTTTTCTACATATTTATATTATTGGCTGCGTCGTTTTCATTATTGTATCCCCCACGACGAAGTCGGCGGGGATACTATGGTTTCATGTCTGTCCAGTCGCCGTCGCAGACACTTTCCCTTCTGCTCTATAACTCGACGCCTAATTGACCTAGCGTGACCAAACATGGTCTACTTACACATCTTGGGGAGAAGGTGCGCAGCGTACCGAAACCAGGTCACTATGACCTTTATTTGACCTTTACCTTGACCTTTATCATATTTCCCTTCCGCTCTATAACTCGGCCTCTAATTGGCTTAGCGATACCAAACTTGGTATACTTACACATCTTGGGGAGAAGGTGTGTCGCGTACCGAAACCAGATTACTGCAACTTTTATTTGACATTGACCTTGACCTTCATCATATTTCCCTTCTGCTCTATAACTCGGTCCCTAATTGACCTAGCGTGAGCAAACTTCGTATATTTACACATCTTGGGGAGAAGGTGTGTCGCGTACCAAAACCCCTAAGGCAACCAATTTTAACATACTTGCACATGTATCTCAGGCAGATGAGTTGTGTAACAAACCTTTGTCTTTGTGACTTACTTAACTTTACCTACCTTCTACGTCCTTACAGAGATATTTCATTCATACTAGATCACGGGGGATACATGTAGTTGGCGACAACTGCCCTTTCTAGTTTGTTATAAGATTATTCGAAGACTTGAAAACAAAGAAAAAATCAATTTTAATATGTTTGATCTTGTTCAGCCATTTCAGAGTTTCAACTGGGGAGGAGATGGAGGATTTCAAATGTCATTTGGAATTGGTGCCTTTCCCTTTGGCTTATTTGCATCAACAGTGAATCTAGGAGGCCCACGGCTACCTGGTGGTAAGTAGAGCATATTTCAGTGGAATTTCAAAACAAACCAAGTCGGATACACACTACTCTACGAAAGAAAACACGACACTTGAATGCCTAGCAAGGCGTGATGTAACCAAGGGGCAAGGAGAGATTGTATCAAGAGTACCTAATAGAGAAGAGTATGACACCGTTTTAACAGCGTTTTGCATAGTTTTCAACTTGTAAATATTCTATCAATATGTGAATAAATATATTCAAACTTTACCTTGTTTTTGTCTATGATTCTCCCTTAATCATATGACACCACCAATTTACCTGAAAATCGTATGTGTTCTTCAAAAAAGTTCTTTGAATATGACACGTTTCACACAGTTTTCACAAATGAGCACATGTATTCGGCTCATGTTGATATGCGGCGGCAGCACCAGGTTGTAACTACGGGACGCTGGGGGCTGTTGTGGATATTAGGTAAGAACAGTAACAGCACTTGTTTCTCTTCCTTATCATCAGGAACACGATGGCAACACAGCTCAAATCAGCTGCTAGCTCGTCGTGAGCACACATTTATTTTTAGCACGCTGGAAACGCTACACGCTGAATACAATTCGATGCCTAATCTCCCCAGCACCCCCAGCGTTCCGTCATAGACAATAGAACACTAATCCCATAATAAACTTGCGCCGAAAACATGCGCTCATTTGTGAAAACTGTGTGAAACCGTGTCGTATTCAAAGAACTTTTTTGAAGATAACATGTATACGATTTTCAGGTAAATTGGTGGTGTCATATGATTAAGGGAGAATCATAGACGAAAACAAGGTAAAGTTTGAATATATTTATTCACATATTGATAGAATATTTACAAGTTGAAAACTATGCAAAACGCTGTTAAAACGGTGTCATACTCTTCTCTATTATGTACTCTTGATTGTATATATACATTGACAATACATTTGCAATATCCGTGCTTGCTGTACTACCATGCTTCCGACAAGACATTGCTTGCTGTCCGTGTCATTAGAAGTGATAACAGTATTTATGTCAGTTCTTTTTCACAATGTTACCTGGGGAGACCCCAGGAGGCGGTTTTACCAAATTAAGTCAATTAAGCATGTCATAAGCAGCTCTAGCACACAGGTAAACTCAATTAGTTCGGAGATGCATTTATCAAGTTGTGTAAACTCACCATGACTGCGTTAGGATTGTCAAAAGAGAACACAGCTAGAAGTTAGGGCATGTCAATTAGGCAATTAAGGCATAATAACATCTTGAGGATTTATTGGATGTCGCAAATTAGCTTAAGCTTTGAAGGCATGTGGGACCTTACATGCATTAAGAGCCTGGGCATAGTATATGTGACCCGCTCCAGCAAAACCAGGATTAAGTAGGAAATTCTACAAATTGAGTTATGTGCATATCTGAATAGATCATTTAATTACCTTTAAAATTATATATAATATTTGGCTATATCTAAAGAATTGACCGATCTACAGCAATTTGAAGATCGGAAACCGACTTATTCCGGAATATGCAGCTTTTGAGATAAAGCGTTCCGGGTATGGTGCCCAGTCGGGGATGAGCGGTCAGGGGCCCTTCAAAAAAAATTTTATTTTTTTTATTTTTTTAAAATTAAAAATGACCATAATAATTTAGAGATATCTGAACCTAAATATCCGGATTAAATATGCACTTAGGAACTTATTTTTGTAAAAATCTCATTTTTGTCCAGGTAGGCCATTTTCAGAATTGACATGTGTGCGTGCTCATTATTCAAAACAATGACTTGCGACTTAGTCCGTATTATGCTGGAGCGGGTCACATATGTGTAAATATAGTGCTGATGAGAAGATGCAAAATCAAGGTTAAAGATCAAAAGGCCAATTGCTCTAAGGTGCAGATGTTCAAAAGCAGATTGGGGGATGAACCGCAGCTGAATAGTCGTTTGCGGCTCTATTTACTAATATTACTTTATTTGATGTTTGATCTTTATCAATTCTTCCTGCTAAAAAGACGATTTGTGGAACCAATTACTATTGACATACGAGATGCAACTATGCTGAATATTTTATTTCTACATGTATTTAAAGATTTACTTGTTTTAAATCTAAATTTTTCTTTTTTCAGCACAACCAGGGACACCCCAGTTCGAAGAGGAGCAGTTTCTGTCGAAGCTGTTTCTCTGGGTAGCTATTCTATTTATCTTCTGGTTGCTGGTTGCGTGACAGATGCCCAGTGAGACCCTCCAGTTCTTGCTGTGAAATCAAAAACAGACCTATCCGCGTTTCCCGACTCAGCAGTCATGTTTGAACGGGTGCCACATAAACCAAACTATATGAAGTTGTTCTGCGCAGTGGATGTTCCAAATTGTGTGTCACTACTTACATGAAGTCAAGGACCTCAAGTCATCGCTGCAGACGGACATGATCACCACAATGCACGTATGCCATGCTGAAGACTGAGCGAGGGCTGATTTACAGATTTTCTTTAAAAGCTGCTAGCTGTGAGATTTATGTTTGGGTTACTTGTGTGGTTTGTCTGTAATGGCAGTTAGTGTTACAGTAAAAATATAGTACACAGGTAGGAATAGCATGGTTTTGCTAGTGTACACAATGCAGCCTTATATAACTTTAGTACTGACTACTAAATTATAGTGTAGCAGTGTTCTACTATAGGAGGTGCCGAATTTATGCATTTTGCATCACCCAGAATATATCTAAGCAGTCACTCCAATCTAGCATATATGTGTCCAGCATTACCCTATGGGTTAAATGTATTTTATTCATTTTTTAAACCAGAATATGGACATTAAAGGTGCAGGTAATCAATTGTGGAGATGAACTGTAAGGTATTTGTACACGGTGCATAGACTAATACATGCATGTCATGACTCACAAAATGCATGTTTATTATAATATTATAATGACATGACCGTGTATCGTCTATCAGTTGAAATTTTCAACTACAACTGAACAAAACTCATGCTGCTGTATTTCTGAGACCATGTCTTCTAAGATGTGGTAGTCGTTGTGCAGTAGCCTGCCAGTTTCATTTCTGCACAAGAATAATTAATACGTTGATACAGTAAAATAATATCAAGAGCTTATAATACCTATATATATATAATAATAGCCTGATAATATTGGGATGTGAAACAGAACATTGAGGGCAAGATTTCTGTAGCTGTAAAAAATTCGAGATATATGAAATATTATCAAGATGTTTACTAAAAATGGTATGTAAATTGCTCTTGGTATTTTAAAATATGTAATATATTATATATTGAAGGCATGTTGAATGAATGTAATTGTTAATAATAAAGTTCTAGTGCTAAGAAGACATTGAGTTATTGTACACGAATATATGTTTACAAGAAGTTATTTATGGTTTTACTGCAGTTTATTATACACTACCATGGGTGTTAACAAAAAAAGTTGGGACTGAAAAAATTGGGTCCAGTGGGATGGATTCTGTGCAATATAACATGCATTTGATGACATTTCTTGATAAGATAGAAATTAGTAAATGCTACAGTCTATTTAATCTGTAACATAAAAGCTTGGATAAAACACTTATACAAGAATATATAACAAGCATACATAGTTAAGATCATTAGATGCAACTCACTTAAAAAAAATTTTTTTATTAATTTAATTTAAAATTCATTAAAAAAGGTCCCAATTTTTCTTAAGATGGACGTCTGTCTACAGACAGACAGTTAACACCCATGCACTACACATGACACACAGAAAAATATACATAGACATGGCAAACAATCATTTTTTTAAATTCACAAATATTTACAAATGATAGAGGACTTGGATATGCCAAAAACTTGGATAAAACACTATTATATGAGTATATAACAAGCATACATAGTTAAGATCATTAAATGCAACTCACTTTTTACAAAATTGTTAAAACTTTAAAGGGACAGTAGCCTCTAGGATTTTACTGCATACAACTGTACTTACTGTATAACAAATCATCTATACCCACATGTATTTGTCACCAGATACTTAATTAATTATTTACACATCAACGCTACGAAATTTGAACGGCGCCATGACACCCGCGACCGTGCTGCCACCCTGAAAAAGTTGCGTATTTGCATTTTTATTTTGCAGGTAAATGACCGAGGGCTAATCACAAAAGTGCAATTATATTTATACCTAAATGCTATTTAACCGAACGATATTCATTTTAGGGCAAATTTATCCATATTATAACTGAAACTATATGTCGTTTATAAGATATTACAATCCTTTTGCTTTTAAATGAATAAATAAGAAATACCCTCGGTCTGTAGCCCTTGGCTGGAAAGTGGTTTTGCGCAACTTCTCAGATCGTGCGCTTTGAGTGGCGCCACCGTCGTTGTAAGCAAACTGTAGTCGTTAGTTTTAAAACATTTAAAAAAAATATTTCTAATGGTGATTGAACCATGAAACTTTTTATGTAGCGCAATTATAACCTAAATTAGCTGAAAATAACCCTAGAACCTAGAGGCTACTGTTCCTTTAAGATTAAACAAAAATACAATAAAAATACAAATATTTACAAATGCTAGAGTCAAATCATTTTGTCAGCTAAACTTGGCACTTGTGAATGCAATGCATGCAATTGCATCTCGACGTTGAAGTATCAACTGCTGCTGCTGTCCTTTGGCTTCACAAACGTCATCTCGTCTCTCCATTTCATGAATGTAGGCTCTCCAGAACGCAGCAGGGGTTCAGGCGGGTCGTCCATCCCTGGCCGATCATATGCTGTAGAGATTATGGCTTGACGCTGCCCTTGCTGAACTCTGGGCCCATCACTACTTACCAACCTCTCGCCATGGTAGCTGTGTTGTAAATTATACTATATATAGGTATTTACATATATAATAAAGGAGAACATTAGCGCTGCTTGACAATTTTTAATTATCCAACACATAAATTTCCATTGCTTAAAATTAATTGGAAGTTAATAAATACTTGATTTCAACATGATGTGTTGATTAGAGTTTGTTTACATTTAAGAGATGATGCCTGTGTTGTTCTTAGATTTTCATTTTCCTGTGACAATACTGAGCATTGGTAATTTTTAACCATTTAAATGATAAAAGATCGTAATATTTTAGACTTTACATTAAGCTTTAAAAATTATACATGTTATAATACTAATCTTTTACAGTTAAATGATAGCTGCAGATCAATACAATTTACTTTGATTATAAGCTCTAGGTCTGAAAAGTTAGAAACTATAATTCAAAATCACTATCACCATGAATACATCAAAAATACATACCCAAATCCAATTTTGGATTTCCCAGCCTGTCCATCCAACTCCACAGCTTCAGAAATACCTGATTTCATCTTTCCAAGTCCCTGACCCTCCTTCCATCCATGATGCTCCATGATTTTTCTACCAAACCCCTGAAAGGCCATTATAAAAATATACACTATCTAGATGCAATGATCTTATATAAGTGTCACATAATATTCCATGACAAAGAACTAGTAGACTGATTGCAAATACTAACCTTAGTATATTTCTCAAACTTTCCAATTTTTTGGCTCTCTTCTGGATCAAGAACTTTCTTCCTTTTCTTTCGGTCTCCGAATCCAGCAGTAAACATATCAGTAGCTTCTATCCCAGCTCTTCGTCTCTGCTCTCTCCTCATCTGGACGAAATCCCTGAAAGATTGGCACAGGACGATTTCAAAAAGTTGCTTTACTGTTTTTTGTTAGGACCAGATATATACCAAATTATGTGCAATAGTGCTATTTACTGCGGTAACGGCAGATCCAGCAGGTTGGTTCCTCAAGGTTATTCCCTACTACCCGAATCGATTACGGCAAATGAGTAAAAAAAACAAAGCAGTCATGAACATTTTAATCCTCCATTTTACATACTGCTTCCCAAATTTAGTATTCACTAGAGGCTTTAAAATTGTTGTCTGCTGTTCGGTGTCTTACCCAAAAAAGCTTATAGCTCTTCCCTATAGACCCACTTGCTGCCCACGTTTGGTCATGTTTCAGGCAAAATCACATCGTATTTTAGATGTTGCAATCAGAATTGATAGAGTGATTCAGTTTTGATAGCCATGTTCGCCAACTCAAAAATATCTCTACAGACGTTATTATTTGGCAAAGGTTAGGGTGGTGAAAATGGCCACAGGGGGAACACCTACCTGCTGTCCTTATCTCCACCAAGAGGCTCATACCACACAGACATGTCAACGTCCCACTCATCAGCTGTTCTCTCATCGAAATCTAATCGTAAGGATATTACAAAAGATTTTAATTTAACTGTCACAGTGCTGGCTATCAGAACAATTACAATGCTACATAGTATCAGGAGTGTATCAAACACAAAAGTATTGATACACTCCTGATAGTATTAGGTGTTAGAATGCCCCTGTGTGAATGCAGCAAGGGTAATTAAACCTAAAAAAATGTGTGTATCACTGTGAGCTAAGGTTATAATGTACAGGTGTCTGTAGCACTATAAGTTTACAGCTCACATGACACAATATGAGTGGGGTTTACACATCAACAATAAGTGATCTGATCAAAGTAACACGATCTGTCTAAAATACTGCTAAGACAGTTAAAATGGGCACAAGCGGTTTCACCTCCTTCCAATTGGTCCCAGTATGCTGCATCTGTATGCCAGACAAGACCTGGCCCACCCTTTTCCCAGGTCACCTCCATTTCTTCTTCATAAAGTCTTTCCTTTGTGCGATCCTGCGAGGTGACATCATTGTGGAAGGATTCGTACCTATCCCATTCCTCACCTGTGTCGTCATCCTAGAAAAGCGGAACATGGCCAAGCACATTATTATTTGTTTCTTTCAGTTATAGATGCTGTTAACCTGAATCACATTGATTATAGTATCTAAATTGTACTTGGCCAAGACAGTAGTTCCCCTGCGATTGGTCTAACATAACGATATATAATTGTAACACTGCACAGTGTAGATATCGCTTACTCAGAAGATTTCCTAAGAAGAGTTCTAATAATTTAATTCTGCCTTTGGAAATGCTGCTGTACGAATGGATACATGTCATCTGAACACTTAATTACCTCTCCAGAATCTGTGTCGTTGCTGATGCTGTTGTTGTCATCCTTCCTGGTTTCCGAGGGCATTTGTGTCTTTAAATACACATCGCTCAGCTGCATCCCTGAAGCTGTAATGACTTCATCTTCCTCAGTATCTAATCTTGAGTAGGTTTCCCCACCGTAATCACATGGCACATTCCCATAGCGGCGATTTGATCTGCAAAATAAGAGTATTTCAAATGTGAGCTTGTGCTCTGACAAGTCATTAAATGCCTTTTGCCACCTAATAAATTCCCTATTTTACATTTGATTAAAAAAAACTATGAGGAACCAAACACAGTTGATTCACACATGGTCAAGATTATGCCAGTTTATTACCTTGACTTTGGAAACTGCAATCCCAACTGTTTAATGAGATGCCCTGGCATTCTGCACAACCTTATCTGCTCCAGGAAATATGTTACAGGTGTTCCCACGTTGCCCTGTGGCATCACGGGTGGGGGGTGAAGCTCAGCAAGTTGCCTTATGTTTACATCGGTCAGCTGTTCCCGATCTGGGTCAATCTGTCGCTGTTCTTTCCTGGTCACGTACTTGGAACTTGCAGTACCTGTATCTGTGAACAGAAAACATTAGTTATAAGTTGAAGATGATCCTATATCAGAAGAATTACTGCCTGAAAGCTCTGGAGCATACAGAAATAACAAAGGTTAACAACGAGAGACTCTGTGGCTCAGTGGTAGGCATCGTGCACTGTCCACCAAATGCTGTGAGTTCAAACCCCGGCCGGGGTAATGAATTTTCTCAAGGTGTAAAAACCTGGCTCTCAACATTGGAGACTGAATCTCCCGTGGCTCGGATGACCACGTAAAATGGCGGTCCCGTCTCCAGAAATGCTAGCCAATAGGGACGTAAAAGAACCACTGAGGGTGCAAAGGAACTCTGGCTGTGACCACCCTCAGTGCCATTTGGCTAAAAAGCTGACTACCTGGCTTTACCCAAGCTAGGTCACACCTCATGGCTAGTTATAGCCCGTTGCCTCGATGCCAAATTTGGATACTGCAACGTACTACAACAGAAACAGAAACCAAGCTATTAATAAAAGCAAAAGGCCCATAGAAAAGCCACGTACCTGTACCAGGTACCTGTCTGTAAATGATAAAGGTCAATTTAGGTATTCCCATAGAGTGGTTGTAATAACCAGATTTGTCTGCATTAATTGTTATTTATATACTAAGTAGGCTATCATTTCGTGAATACCATTATCTGATGATGTTCTTAGCTTTGCTATAAAACATTTTGACTGGATCATGTTTCCTTCCTTGTCAAGCCAGTGTTTTCTGTGGTACATCTTTATAAGCTTTTCTACATTTTCATTCGCTAGCCGTACCACACAGCATGTTGTATTCATTACACTGTCACTGAGCCGCGATTTACTTCCTTCGCCTTCTGTTGTACAGGATTGCGTCCCACTACTAGTAGTAGTAGTACTTGCACTAGCAGTAACTGTTGATCTTGCAACGTTTGCTACAGTCACAGTGAGTACAGAGTCTGAGACTGAAGATTCCGGAACGTTTTTTAACTGTTTCGTTTCTGGTCGATGCCGAAAGTGAAAACAATTAAAACCTCCAGATTCTATAAATTGAGAAAAGTAATTTCTTAGATCGGACGATCTATAATAAGGAGGAATATTCCCAATAATACATAAAACAAGCGATGCATTAGTTTCGATGGGGGCAGACATCTTGGACCAACGACAACTACCAGGAACTGACGTCGTATCGCCTATCGGGTCGATCGGTGGTGTGTGCTCACATATTTGGGCAATACTGCATCGTTAACAACGATATATTTGTCATAATACATAAGAAGAAAGCGTAACATGATCACAAATAATTAAAAACTTGTATATATTGAGTACACCTAAGAACAGACCGACATTCTGCGGGCAATAATCTCTGGCTTTATACTCGCACCCCTTGCACTATTACCCGCTACCGCGAATAGGCTCACCCAAAAAGCGGAACACCCGCAACAAAAACAAATGACTCACTCGTCTCCCAGCCACAGCCAGTCGGCTTATTCAACTGAGGAGAACTTGTCATTTAGCGGTAGGTGATATTTTCCATAATAATTATCGCGTAACGGTTTACTGGTTTGGAGCTCTATGCTACGTGGAATGTTCTTTGATAAAACACCATCACTGGGGCATTGGCGAGCACCACGAAATCGTTAGTTGTGCGATCAATGAGAGACGTATGTAATACTAATAGTAATTGGTAATACTAATACTAATAGTACTAAATACATCTTTATGTTAGCCGGCACAATCCTATTCCTAGGCTATACTGCCTATAGTGAATGTGATTGTCATGGGCAATGGCTCGGTACTTTGCGTTAAGCGTAGCAATTAGCGTTGCCATTCAAGTTAACGCACGCATTTGTAACGGAACTGAGTATTGAATCATTAAGTCGTGCGCTCGTGAGGAAATGGCACGACCCTGCATCTAGAATCTAGATACAATAACGCAACCCATTCTCGAAATTCAAAAATTCTCCAATACATGCAGGCCGAGTATGTGAATCAAATTTATTTCTTTATTGAGTAAGTGATTCTTGATGGGCACAGTGACGTCAGACTCATTAACTACACAACTGACCAACATCTTTCTCCTTCCTCGTTTGTTACTGTCTCTTGGACTATCAATAATGTTCTTTAATATCAGGTTATGAGGTTAACAGATAATGTAAGTATAAGTTTAAGCGAACTTCTACTAAGCTCATGCACTCAGGAGGTGGTAAATCTGTGTGCTTCAAACACTGCTCAGTCCTGACCATTCATTGTTATTATTAAAAGATTATATCATCACTAACCCAATCCACGAATAAAAAACATTCAAGCTGGCCAATTCTTTAATTAGAACTGCGTGAAAGCCAAAACACACTTTAGCAACATTGACCACTAGTAACGTCTTGGAAAATTAAAAACAGCTGTTTCTAATAAGCAGTTGCATGCGCATGTGATAATGTCAAGTAACATTATAATGCCTACCGGTATATAACAGTTTACATTGTTTGTGATTTTCAATATATGATTGTGTACAGCTGTTTTCATTTTCCATTCTATTATATTACATCAGGGTTCGAAATTAACGGGAGTCCGGAGTCAAATATTTCCCCCTGAAAATTCTGCCATACTACCTAGTTCGTTCCAGAGCGTGGCCTCGTGGAAATACCGTATTTTTTCAGCTAATATCCAAAGAAAATTTGACAGACGTGCAACCGCATGAATCTTAAAAATAAGCACATGCGTTATTGTTAATATCTTTAAATTTGAACCTCAGACTGCAGACTCCCTCATTTTGCTGCGGACTCTCTCTTTTTGAGGGTAGGGAGTCCGTTGGACTCCCGTGTTGCATCCGTTAATTTCTACCCCTGTTACATTGTACATTATTTGTGTTTACACTTTACAGTAAGTATCCTATCATTTCTCAGCTACTAGCCAAAGCTTAATATTCTCACAAGCTGGATGTGTGTATTTTTGCAGTTTGCTGCTGTCTACAGCTGAGACCACTTTAATCACAGGCGTTCTCAGCAAGGTGTGGCGTGTGTGTATTTACTTCTCTGCTGCTTTTGCTCAAGTTTCACCATGTGGCTGCTAGTTTTTTGTGTGTGGCGGCATCCAGTTGCTGCAATGTTCCGTGCGGCCAGCAGTTTAGTGCGTGGTGTAGCATTTCATTAACCATCACTTCTGCATATACAACTCCAGATGCTGCAGATCTTACTGTGCTTCATCTTGCTGCTTGTGTGTATATATGCAAGCTAGCATCGTGTTTATTGAATACAGCAGGTATTTGGGGAACTGGGTAAAATCTGCCTGGGCAATAAACGTGGCGGTATAAATATTTCGAGTCCAGACACTTAACATGTTGGATGGTCAGTTAGAGTGGTGCTGGGTGAAGCTCTAGCTAGATAGTATATATATGTTTTTTCATGAGATGTGCCCTGTCATTGGTCAGAGATATCCAATCTGCAGGCATGCACTATAAAAACAGATGTGTTTACCGGTTTGGACGAACTTGCATTTCGAGTAGCATTCTGAGTAGCATCAAATAGAGTTGACTGCATGTATCAGTATCTCATCATCTACTTTTATACTAATTGCAAATAATGCAAACGTGTGTACACTGTTTAAGCGCACACATATTTAGTATTCTCTACACACATTGCATTTCATACTTGCAAATCTTACACCTACACTTAAAGGCTCACAATGCGCATCCAAACGCTAATTTCTCCAGTACTAGACTATAGCAAATACTTCGTGTCATGCATAATCACACTACCTTATGGCAAAATAAACTCTAGTTCCTCCCATTTCACTGCGCGTTTGCTTAAAACCCACAAGAAAGAGGTGAGAAAACTGGCATTCTGGCGCAAACGCCGACTGTTTCCCAAACAAAATAGCCTCGAAGTGGTGACGTGACGTCACATGTTTTTATCTTTGCTGCGCCCGTACCGCTGTACCGCGGTACCGCTGCACGGTTGCTTGGAGATTGGGGAAACTGTCAACAACATCGGAGAATTTCAACAACATTGGAGGTATTTTCAAAATACCTTTTATAAGACAACGTGCAGTGAAATTGGAGGAACTAGAGTTTATTTTGCCATAAGGTAGTATGATTATGCATGACACGAAGTATTTGCTAGTCTAGTACTGGAGAAATTAGCGTTTGGATGCGCATTGTGAGCCTTTAAGACAAGCCTACATCATGTACACACCTCAATCCTCGAATGCATGCATGCTCGCATGCACATGCATGAACACAAGTATATCACCTAAAGGCTAAACTGTTCACACCCACATATCTCGTACACTACAGATCTCTACACAATTATACCCATACATGTAAGAACATTGAGTTCCGACTAATCTCGAACATGCTCGTAGGCTAGTCAACCCTCCTTGTTGTGGTTTCTTTATCAGTTTATTGCTTGGGGCATTCATCCTCATTGATGTCTGTACGACATGAAATACGCGTTGTGGACAAGATAAGATAGAAAAGTATGGAAACTAGGCCAGCACATTGATGGTAAACCACACGCGTGTGACACAGTGCCCTTATACGTAGGAGGGTCGACATGGAAATAATAATACGCAGCTGCTACCATACCTGTTCATTATAATAATAAAAAAATCATCAGCTCCCTACATTAGGTATATAAATATTTAAAACGCCATATCCTTGTTGCTCATTGCAACCAAAACCGGATAGAAAAATGGGTACATTCCCTCAGTACTATTTATCCCAGTTCAGTGAGGAGTACTTGAAAGCAAGGTCACATAAATTTGCCTTAGATTCATTTCAACGAAAGAATTTACTTTCACCTTGAAAGACCTTCATCCAATTCACCAGCTCTAGGTTATCGGTGAACATAACTATATTTTTTTCTGATGAACAATCTGTTCAAAGATTCTAAACCACAGATCTTGTGGGACCACTGTGGGAATATGTATCATATTCGATCAACATTATCTTACATGATTTATTTTAAGTGGTTTGTGCCACCATGAACAGTTATCAACGTTCAGGGTTCACGTTTTGTAGATAGTCACGTTCATAGTTGTCTTTCGTTGGTTAGCTCATGTCTGTAATGTGCAGCCTACGTCGTGGCACTGGTACATGTTGGTGAGAGTGCTGGTGTTTGTCTTCAATAGCAGCTACGCCCTGAACAGTTAATATTATAATGTTCAAAGATGTAGAATGCTGGGCAAATAAGATACCCCTGGTGCGAAAGGGAAGGGAGAGGAGAGGCGAAATAGAGACTCAGTGAGGGGGTCACAGTGGGGGACAGTAAAAGAGGAGGAGTCGAGAGGGTGCAAAAACTACTTCAAATGGTAATGTAGGCCATCGTATATAAAGATGTAGAACGTGGTTTTCATTTTAAGACTCGAATCCAAGTAGCATGACATCTTGTGAAAATGGGTCATTAGGGCTTGATCTTCGTATCTGAATACTCTCTCTGTATGATTTAAAATTTTCTCGTGTACGTTTCTGGCAAATTTTATTGTCTGGCATGTGACTTGGTTAGATTGTTAAATCTTCTTTATTGCATCATTGAAGTTTATTTTAAACTGAAATGATTTGATATATGCTTTTCTGCACGTGTGCGCTCTGGAATGTCCGCTTGTCTGCTTCTCCGGTTGTCTGCGCGTTTCTGCTCTATGGATTTATTGACATGATGTACGGAATATCCTCCTCGTAGGCATGTATGTGCGTGCGTGCGTGCGTGCGTGCGTGCGTACGCGTGTGTCATTATGCACAGAGCTGTACTCTTAGTCATAGATGTGCGCTCAGTGTTTCTGCTTGTTCCTGGAAGAGGCGCGCTCATCGCTCTCCTCACCAGAATGGTAATTGAAGCATTATTTCACTCCTAAGAAAGTATTCCATTCGACAGCTCTTCAAAGTTGGGAGTGATGATATAGCGGTCGTTGTGCTCGTTCGTGAGATTCTTTCGGTTTTCAGTTCTTACTGTGAGTGTGCATGCAGCTGCCTCCAGCCGTATACGCTTACCCCCTTGTGACATGTGTGTGTGTGTGTGTGTGTGTGTGTGCACTCACAGCGACCGGACAGCTTTGACAGGGAGTAAGAATTGGCTGACTTACGTGTGGTGAAGAACTAGCCGTTTTGCTCAGAAGGAAATTTGTGAATAGTGGAGGTAGAAAGTAGCAGGAGATCTGATCTCGTTGTTCAGGATTCTGTGTATTGACGTGTGAGCGAAGATTTGGGAAGCCTGCGTACCAAGCCTGTGCTTTCACTTGGTGCCCAACGTGGTGTAGGTTTTAGAGCCATACCTAAGCCATGTGAGTCCGTGTTGTGTGTTTTTGCGCATGCCTGCGTGCGTGCGTGTGCATGCATGTGTGGTGTGTGCGTGCATGCGTGTGCGTGCATGCGTGTGCGTGTGCGTGTGTGTTAGTGTGTGTGTGCATAATGTGTCCGTCAATTATCTGGGAACACAAATGAATGTCGCACCATCGACCTAGGCAGCGCTGACTCAGGCCGGAGATGCGAGCCAATATAGTCTGACTCATTCCCCAGTGAGACCCCTACCAGGCACTCAAATATCCGAGTATCACATATCACGTATGTGAGGCCAGTAGCCTCCCCACAAGCACAGAGCTTCCTTCGTAGTGTAAGTAACTATAGCGTACTTCCTTGGTCGTTAGAAAACAAACGAGGGATTCTGCTTGTACTGGTGTGTAAAATAATGTGATCATTGGGATGAGGATGCGACTATTGTTAATTGAACATCTTCTGTATCTGGTCAACCCACCTGAATCCTCAAGACTGCATATCTGCGCACATCACATAGGATTATGAAGGTTATACTTAGATTATAGTACTCGGAGTCGATGTTATTGTTTATATAATTAAGTTTGATGGCAGTGCACATGCCTTTATTGATGCGCTTAGCTGCATAAGCTCTGCTGATTCATTTTTTTATGCCACAGCATTTTTTAAGTATTGTTGAGTCATTGCGGAATTAATTGAAGCTGGTAAACATTGAGGTTTCGTCGTGAGTGTATGACGTATGGGCTTGTAATATCTATACACTGTTGTGTGCGATTTTGTAGTCGGTGTGTGAGGCTGTAGTGTTCAATAATTATGTATTGTGCCGTTGCAAGGCTGCTACATGCCTGTAGTATATGTGACGTTATAGTAACATATAGTCAAGAGCATATAAAGAAGGCCTTCTTTATATGCTCTTGATATAGTATAACAGCTCAAGGTTGTAAGTGTAACGATGTAAGCGCGTGCTTCTGTAGTAAGTATATGATACTGATATACGTAGGTGGAAGTAACGGAACTGAGTGTTACTAAGTTAAATGTAATGTGTTCGGAGCGCTGTAGTGTTTGTATGAGGATGTACTAGTGAGTGAGGAATCGTTGTAGGGTGTAATTTTGCGGTAAGTGCACGATGCCGGCATAAGTGTGCGTGGTGGTCAATGGTAGAGAAACAGCCGGTTCTTAAGCGACACGCTGTCAGCTGGCCATCAATTCACGGGGATTTCACAGTAATTGGTAGCAATTGATGGAAACGATGATTTAGCTAAAGTGCTGGAGCCTGGAATATAGTTTGCGTCGCGCGCTGGTTGGCAGCTGGCATTTTGATGCTTGTCTGTCCGTGCCATCGCGGTGCGGGCGGCGGCTGCGGGGATCCGTGTTTGATGGAAATGCACGCCCAGTGTGAGTGGAGAGGCTAGTAATGACGTTGTCCCGGCCGAAAATAATCATCAGCTAATTGAATTCATCGTGCAGAAGTCCCTTCCTTCATTTGTGCCCAGCCGGTGGCTACTCTGTATTGCGTCATGCTGCCATAACGCCGAATAACACAAGCCATTTAGCAAGGAATATGAGTGCAATCCATTTAGTAAGGATGTGAGTGTAATCCTCTATCACAGCGCAATTTCCTGAAGAAGCTGTATACATACAGGTCTATATGCGCGATGCTGACCCGACCAATCGCTCAAATCAAGCAAGTTTAGTGACTGATTGGTGGTATATTGAGTGGTTGGTGGTGACGCACTTGCGTCCCGGTTGTAAAGGGTAGCAGTCAGTCCGTGGGCGCGCATCCATTGAGTGCAGGACGGGTGTTGGCGTTTGTTGGAGACGTCTGCGTGGTCTTTAGGCAACTCTAGATACACTAATGTAAGTTGTAACCCAAATGTAGTTCACCCTACTCTGTAGTCTGTTGTGTTACGTTGTTGTAGCTATTTGTGTCTATATTATTGTATCTATGGTGTCTATATTATTGTATCTATTGTGTCTACATTATTGTATCTATTGTGTCTACATTATTGTATCTATTGTGTCTACATTATTGTATATATTGTGTCTACATTATTGTATCTATTGTGCCTACATTATTGTAGCTATTGTGTCTACATTATTGTATCAATTATAAGGCAGTTCGTGCGGATTGCTACTGCTGCGTTATATTGTTCAGCCGTTACGCGATATTGTAAATACATATGATCAAGAGTAGATAATAGGGAAGGAGTGTGACTTCAATAAACAAGGGAAATTCGTCATTTACTAGCCTTAGAATACCTACGATTTACTACGCGTAACTCAACCAACTTGAGCTTAAATCGTACACAGTACATTCGTCTAGCATCGTGCGAAATCGTTTTCTCGTATACACCCGCAATCCGGAGATACAGGCTAAAACGTACGACACGATTTTCCATTATGTTGCCAGCAAACTGAATGTGTAAACCGCCTAACTCGAAACAAAAGGCAGCTGTAAATAGGTCAAAGATTAGCTCTGCGAGCCACACCGCATCGCTGAGGGCGCAAGAGTCGTTAGTAGCTGCCTTTTGTTTCGAGTTATGCGATTTACACATTCAGTTTGCTGGCAACATAATAGAAAATCGTGTCGTACGTTTTAGTCTGTATCTCCGTATTGCGGCTGTATACGAGGAAACGATTTCGCACGATGCTAGGCGAATGTACTGTGTACGATTTGAGCTCAAGTTGGTTGAGTTACGCGTAGTAAATCGTAGGTATTCTAAGGCTAGTAAATGCCGAATTTCCCTTGTTCATTGAAGTCACACTCCTTCCCTATTATCTACTCCTGATATGATCAAATATATCCTGACTATGGTCTGTAGCTCCAAGAAAATACATCAAATATATCCTGACCATGGTCTGTAACTCCAAGAAAATACATCAAATATATCCTGACCATGGTCTGTAGCTCCAAGAAAATACATCAAATATATCCTGACCATGGTGTGTAGCTCCAAGAAAATACATTAAATATATTCTGCCCTCGGTCTAGCTCCAAGAAACGGTCATATATCGAAAGACCGTTGTTTATTGACGTTGGTCTCGCAGCATGGTCGGGCTACTCCCAATCGAATCTATTTGCGTGTTGGACGCAACGATATCATGTACATGCGTTTGTATGTGTGGGTATAAGGTCCCTTCGCGTGTGTTATATGAAAACGTGACACATCGATCGGTGCCGTTGACGGCATATGCGATGTTGTTTGTGATACATTGTATAATTGCACCTGCCAAGCATCCAGCCGTGTACACCCAGCCCAGTGGAGCGTGTCCCCCGCTTTCAGTGCTAGTGTTAGTCAACAGACTCTACACTTACCGCGCTGGCATTCAGTTTTAAACCGACGGTTGGCGGTGCACGTGGCGCCCGCTCTACCTACGCACCGGCTGCTGGCAACGCGACTATATATATATCCTGTTATTGCGCGACTCGCCTGTCACATCCTAATAGTGCGTGCCGAAGATCCTGTTATCTTCAAGTCAACACCCAAGACGAGAATTCTGTGTCATTGGGTGGAGTGAAAGCTGCAGCTGCCGTGCCTGGAGGGCGACGACGGAGTAGCAGACGCTATTATTTGCTGTGTAAATAGTACGGTGAAAGTCTGACAGCTTACCTAAGGAACGTCGTTCTGCCTAGCCCAGTAGAGCTGTGAGCGTGACACAGTTCCACTGAAGATTTTAGTGGATGTAGTTGTAGTGGTATGTTTAATCTCAGAAGTGAATAAAAACACAATCCTGTTTTATACGCTTCTGATATTATTACGGTTGCCTTGATCTATCATATCGTTCATATCAGTTGATAATGGTGCCAACTCTGACTTCGTTTCAAAAACAAACAATCTCTCGAGCGAAGACTGTTTACATAGGATTAGGGCAGCTGAAATTAGATCCAAGGCTGGCAGGAAATGTACCACGTAGTTGTGCATGTTACACAAACCATGGCTCTACATGGCTAGTTTATTCTACAGCAACGTTGCAAGTTTGAAACTGCCAGTTTAGCTGATTGTTTGTCCGGATGATGGGCACGTATGTATGTGTACCTGTGTACGTGCTGCAGTGTACGAATTTCTACAGCGTTAATTAGCCCAATTACAGGTAAAGATCACAGTCGTGAACGCACACCACAGAACACAGTCGTGCTCGATTGGTTACATTGCGTATAAATGATAGCATATCTCTCGGTGGGTGCTGTCAGTAAATTAGGTAACACGTCAACACGAATTGCTAATTGCTGTTAAAACGCCCATAACTTGCTAGTATGGTGAAGTTTATACTATTGGGACATGTAAGAATTTGCGTATGAATCGTTTTTAAGGATGTATGCTTGCTCGAGTGAGTCCGTGTGCGCATACATGTAATCAGGAGTGTATCAATATTGATACACTCCTGATGTAATCATGAAGCTACTCGGAGATGGAGAAGGTATAAAAGAACAGGGAGAGGATGAACAAGAGATGAGGGGGAGATGGAAATGGGAAGGGGAGATGAACGTCATCGAACGGAGAAACAGAGATGCTGTGGGAAACCACGGCCAGAGAAAACATATATACATATATATTTTATTATGTGATGATCTATCAAAGTATAGATATCGAATAATTATATCAATATCAATAATTGGCATAGCATCTAAATTTTGCATTGTCACTACAAATTTGTTCTTGTTTGTGATGATTCAGCTCTGACTGAGTGAGATTTCACTGCTAAGCCTGGTGTGATGGAGCACGACCTTCATTTGAGAGACAGGGTAGGACTGCAGGACTTTGTCCTGCTGGAAGACTACCACGACGTCAACGCCTTCATAGAAAACCTGCGAAAGAGATTCAATGAAGACATAATATATGTGAGCACGAAATAGACAGCGATCGAAACATTCTACTTTGCTATTTCATTTTTTTTCTACTTCTCTCTCCTCTCTCCTCTCTCTCTCTCTCTCTCTCTATGTATATATATATAGCAATTTTGTTATCATATTAATATTAGCTGTGGGCATATGTAATTTTACCGTCGAAGAGTGCCGATAGATGAAAAACGATCTAGTCTAGAACACTTGAGTATCATGCGTAATGCATTCTGTCCCAGTTGACATGCCGGAGTGATATCCCGTTAAAGTGTCAGTTTAGATGTGGTTGACGTTTGTGTCTGTTCACAGACGTACATCGGTCCAGTGCTGGTGTCTGTGAACCCCTACAGGGAGCTGCCTATCTACAGCCAGGAGTATATCGAGACATACAGAGGCGAGGCATTCTATGAGCTGCCACCACACATGTAAGTCTTAACACGTAATTGCCCTATAATGTCGCCTGCAATGTAGTATGAGGAGGAAGCATCGGTAGATGCACAACTAGTGTGCTGCTCTCTCTCTGGTGCGGAAGGCAAGAAGACAGGCACAGGTAAGCAAATGGGGAAAGATACATGGGGCAGATATGCTGGTCTAGCAGCTACATAAATGTCACAGAGACACAGATGTTACAGCAAATATATGCAAACAGGATAGCAGAGGTCGAATTTGTATTCTTTATGGCAAGGCAAGTGTTGCCATTGCCTTAATAAGATATTCTATTGCACCACCGCAAGTTGGAGGGATACCAAAGGAAAAATTACCTTGAGATAAGTGTTTTCGGGGACAGTTATTAGAACTAACTTTTAACATGGAATTTGCAACATGGAAATTGCGTTTCGTAACATGGAATTTATGAGGCAGAAACGGGGGAGCGCCAGGTAAGGCAGCCACGGCAATTTATAGCCGTAGATATCTTCCAGTTTTCAGGGGAATTCATGTAAGTATGGAGAGGAACCACGGCACTTGCTATTCGGCACTTGTCTTCATTGCCTCGCCAACATTCGAGAACTGGGTGTAGGTTCACATATTGCTGATACACATTCGTGGCAGGTAACTGCAGCAACTCAAACATAGTAGGTGATACAGCAGCGTGACAGATACAGAGGCACTGAGTGACTGACTACACATAATTACTCGAATAATGAAGTGTGAGCATATTGTCGCTGATGTAGTGCTCAGAGATCAAGAGTTGATGACAGCTCGGTGCTGATTATGCCAGAAGGCATGCGCACCTCTAGCCATAACTTAATGACCCGACAACATGTTACCCGCGAGTTGGAGTGTTCGTTAACAAGCTAATGAAGTTAGCACTCATTACTGTAAGGTGATAGAAGAAGAGTCAGGTGTCTGAAAAAAGTTTGTTGAAACTGTGGCGCACCTTTCATGAAACGAATATACGTAAATTCGTTGTGCGTTATCACAGTTGTGTAGGCGGGGGCATGTGAGTGGGGTTGTAGGTTCAGTGTGTGACAGATACAGCGTGTATATCTGCGGGCGATGACCCATCTAGTTCGGGTCGCGTGCTACCGTGCGGCAAGCTTTGTCGTGCCAATTTATTGTGGTGGTTGTAAAGCTGTTGCTGGAATAGTCAGCATAGCTCGAGTTTAGATTGACCACAATTGCCTAATGGAACTAGTTACGGCCCGACGACATTTGTCCATGATTATTCATTGAAACGAAATAAACCAGTCAACTAGCATTATGGTTAGTGGTATTGTCTCTTAGTTTGTTTTTGAAGAACCACCATTTCAGAGAAAGAGGTCACTAGTGTTCCTTGCCGTACCTCGACTTAGAGTCGGTGCTGGTATAATTACAAAGGCGATGTCTTGTGGGGTGTGATGAACACATCCATGTTAGTGATTAAGCAGTGAAATAAGTTTGCTAGATGGGGAACAGATAGACAAAGAGACCAAACGTCTGTGTAGCAGCTTTTTATTTTTCACATGGTTGCGCATGGCAGAAGCTGGCACATTTGCAATAACCCCAACCTTGGGCTAGTTACTGGTACACATTACTGGTTGCATATAATCAAGAGCGTATAAAGAAGGCTTCTTAATACGCTCTTGATATAATTGTACCTTCCATGCATATACGTGGCAACGCGGCCGCAGTAGCGAGATCAAGCATGAATGAACACACGAACATCTGAATATAGGCGCAAATGTGCAGCCAGTGGCGGCGTTTACGTGTGTCTGGTAAGGGCGGGGCAGATGGATAATGAACCTAAATCTACAGTAACTGTATCTGCGTTTGCATCTGCTTTCATGCGCACCGAATCCTGACACTCTGTACTTTCTCCTCAACTACACGCTGGTATTCCGTCTGCAATAGAACCCGTCCGTGGTGCTTGAACCCAGTAATGTCGCAGATGGTAATCACCGTCTATTGGTAGTGTCAATAGCATGTGAAGTCATGAAAAACGCCTGAATGCTGCCATCTAGCCTGTCATGTAGTGGGCTTGGGTTGGGTTCCCTCAAAAATACAACTAATAGGTTATCAGAAAGGTCCGTCGTATTTCTAGTGTAATTCGCACATTTGTGATGTGTAACTAAGCAGTTATAGGTGCAATGGAATGTAACACAGAAGTCATAGAGTGAGTGGGGTTCAGTATGCGATCTGTATGGGTCCACTGTCATCAGCGTGCTGAAAATCCACAGAGTCGCCCGACTCAGTCGCGTAGTGTGTCCACAGAGTCGCCCGACTCAGTCGCGTAGTGTGTCCACAGAGTCGCCCGACTCAGTCGCGTAGTGTGTCCACAGAGTTGCCCGACTGAGCCGGCCGGCTCGATCACATGAAAAATCGCGTAGTGTGTCCAGTGAGTCGCGGTCGATTTTCGAGTCGGCCGGCCGGCCGAGTCGCCCGATTCAAACACGTTTGATAATTATTTGAGCCGGCCGGATGCAATCACCTAGTGTGCAATCAGCCAATCAGCGTGCTGAAAATCCACAGAGTCACCCGACTCAGTCGCGTAGTGTGTCCACAGAGTCGCCCGACTGAGCCGGCCGGCTCGATCGCATGAAAAATCGCGTAGTGTGTCCACAGAGTCGCCCGACTGAGCCGGCCGGCTCGATCGCATGAAAAATCGCGTAGTGTGTCCACAGCTTAAGCGATGCTCATGGTCATATCGCATCAGTGCATATAACCTGTGCCGTTGCATTCATACGCGCGCGTGTCGAACCGGTTTCGATTTCATTTCCTTGTTTTAGTTAACAAGCGGGCAGGGTAATATACGAGGGAGTGTGATTACAGATTACCCACCCCCCCCCTTTTATCCGTGATCAGTGGGTGCGACACGAACGTTACGGCATAGTGAGCAGCTTACCGACATTTTGTGTCGATACTGTTCGACTGTTTCAGTCGGTGTTGGCCAGTTTTTAAAGACACGTGGTATAGTCGGAGCCAACAATTATTACGTACCAGTTATTTCAGATGCGACCATGGGTAAAATGATAGTTGGTTACAGGGGCGGCGCCATGGTTTTCAAAGTGGGGGGGCCCAATTGAGAGAATGAAGCGACCATGCCGGGGGGCTGAGTTATTCAAGCGTAGGGGAGCCAGGCGACCAAGCGGTTGTGTGGGGGGTGGGGGGAGCTTTTTTCAATTTTGCTACTGAAAATGGAAGCGATCTGGGCGTGCACATGGATAGCTGGGCTGAAAATATTCAAATTTTTAAATGGAAGAAAAACGGAAATAACACCTTTTCAAGTACATGTCTATGCTGCATGTCAACTATAGTGAAGTATATATAATTTGCCATCTCAATATGAATACATTTTCAGGGCGTACAGGAAATTTCCATTTTCTTCAACCTGGTAATAGAAAAAATAACATTGCTGGAATGATATTTAAACACTTATAAACATCACTCGACTAGCTTTTATCTTTAGTTTAATCTTCATGTTGCTGACAACAGTTTTGCTTAAAAACCCAAGCTGCTAGGATATTACATAAAGAATACAGCAACTATTTATTAATTAAAAGACTAAGAAACTAAACTGCTAAACTAAACTAAAACAATAAAAGGAACTATATAAAAATATATACATAAAACTAACGCTCATAGGGTCTATGTACCCCAGGTTACTGCGGACGTACCCTCGGTACGGTCCGGTATACGGCTCTGCGTTATCAGCGTGGCGTTAGGCTCTGCGTGCTGCGCGTACTTAAAGGGAAGAGTTTACTCTAGGTTCTAGGGTTATTTTCAGCTAATGCAGGTTATAATTACGCTACATAAAAAGTTTCATGGTTCAATCACCATTAGAAATATTTTTAAAAAATGTTTAAAACTAACGACTACAGTTTGATTACAGCGACGGTGGCGCCACTCAAAGCGCACGATCTGGTAAGTTGCGGCAAAACCATTTCCAGCCAAGGGCTACAGACGAGGGTGTTTCTTATTTATTCATTTAAAAGCAAAAGGATTGTAATCTCTTATAAACGACATATAGTTTTCAGTTATAATATGGATAAATTTGCCCTAAATGAATATCGTTCAGTTAAATAGCATTTAGGTATTAAATATAATTGCCACTTTTGTGATTAGCCCTCGGTCCTGTAACGTGCAAAATAAATTGTCAAATACGCAACTTTTTCGGGGTGGCAGCACGGTCGCGGGTGTCATGGCGCCGTTCAAATTTCGTAGCGTTGATGTGTAATTAATTATAACATTTAAATTAGGTATCTGGTAACAATACGTGTGGGTATAGACGATTTGTTATACAGTAAGTACAGTTGTATGCAGTAAAATCCTAGAGGCTACTGTCCCTTTAAGCTGTGCGTACGCGTGCGTAGTGCAGTATAAGTACAATGTGTGCATATGCAGGCCCGTAGCAAGCATTATATTGGGGGGGAGGGGTTCGTTTTTCAATGTTGGTAATTTGCTCGGCAGGGCCGTGTGCAGGATTTGTACCAGGGGTGGGTCTAACCGTAACCCAAAGTTGCGAGCACGCGAAGGGGGGGGTCTGGGGAAATTTTTTCAAATTAGACCCCCCCAGATGCGTTTTCTGCGCGAGCAAGGGGGGGTCCGGACTCCCTGGACACCCCCTGTACACGCCCCTGCTCGGGTGCGAAGCGACCAGGCGAGGGAGCCAAGCGACCGAGCGGAGGGAGGGTGTTGGAAGTGGGTGTTCACTGTTCACCCTCCCGCACGATGGAGATTTTGCAATTATTACATTAAAATGGAGCGACCTGAAGTGAAATTCTTGCAAATTTTCCCAAATTATTATTTTTGGCTTGGGGGGAGGGGGGTTCGTTCGAATCCCCCGAACTCGCCCTGACTACGGGCCTGCATATGCAAGTACGGTAAGCCCGGCGCACACGTGAGTTATTTTACTCAAGTAAAATGACGCATGAGTCATTTTACTCACGTGTGCGGCGGATTTTCGTTGAGTAATTTGACATATGAGTCATTTTACTCACGTGTGCGGCGGATTTTCGTTGAGTAATTTGACGCACGCCTCATTTTACTCACGTTTGCGGCGGATTTTCGTTGAGTAGTTTGACTCATGCGTCATTTTACTTGAGTAAAATAACTCACGTGTGCGCCGGGCTGTACTGATATTCGACCCTCGATCGAGCCTCCGAAGCACAGGATCAGGCCCCGAAGTCCGCACGGTATTGGGGTAAATACGGCGCTGTGCATGTCTGTTTGCTATAGAGTAAGGCTAGAGGGACTTCGTCAAACTTTGTAATTTTCCAGTAGGCAGATGAAAATGTGGATAAACACTCTCTTTCGCTCTTTCCCCTCTTCCTCTCCTCCTTATTCCCTCTTTCTTTTCTTGCATTTCTTTCCGATCATACAAAATACATATAGACATATATTTTCTGCCAAAAAAGTGGGGGGGCCCGGGCCCCCCCGGCCCCCCCGTACGCGCCGCCCCTGGGTTATACTCGGCTGATCGCGCACATTATAGTTTTATGATCGGTCGTCCCAAACCGTTTGTGACAAACACTGAGATTGAAACGGAAACGCATTATGGTTGTGTAGTAGCTGAGACAGAGCGAACTATCTGTTGATCTGTAACTCGGCAGAAAAGAGCCGTGAAGATCATCGTTTCATTTTCATTTGTCAGCAATGGAAAAGCCAGTTTTGTATTGATTAATCTCGGGTTGGTATACCTATACTCTATTACAGGTAGTTAGATTTTGACTAAAACTGCACTTACTACGCATGTAAAATAAATATAAATATATATTTAATAGAATATATATTAGGATATATATATATATATATATATAGAATTAGAAGTATATTTTTAAGTCAAATATGTGATGGATTAGGATCGTCTATTAGCTGTTATAAACAGTCAGCATGGTCGCTTGTTTCTTCGCAGATATGCCGTGTCTGACATGGCTTACCGCTCGATGCTGGCTGAGCGACGTGACCAGTGTGTGCTCATATCGGGGGAGAGCGGTGCCGGCAAGACGGAGGCCACCAAAAAGATGCTCTACTACCTAGCAGAGGCAAGCCACCATGCTGCTGAGGTCGACAGGGTGAAAGACAGACTGCTGCAGTCCAACCCAGTGCTAGAGGTGTGTGTTTGCACATGCCGAGTGTGGCTCGCACCCCACATTGTCTTGAAAGCTGTCGATGTATTCAAAAGCATGTAATTCCTTGTCGTAGCATCTAGTTATGATGATTCGGTAGCACCGATCAAACCTTATTGTCACGAAAATCCTGAAATGGACATGGATCCTGGACAGTACCATAATGCAAGTAGGGGTGGTCTTTTATGCCCCTGCTGCAGCTGTTGAGTAATGGAGCTTCTGTAGAGTTTTTTAGTGGAGGCAAGAGCTTCAAAATCAATATTAGGAATCAGTCTGAGTTTGTTTAAGAATGTATGCTCAGTGGTTTACACATCTTTCTAGCAGAGCACACCATCTAATAGGTTCTGGAAGTGTATTGCATAACTAAAACCTCTCACGTTCCTCTCTCAACAGGCTTTTGGAAATGCAAAGACTACGAGAAATGATAATTCTAGCCGGTTTGGGAAATACATGGACATCCAGTTCAATTTTAAGGTAACAAATTTGGTTTAGTCATGACGAATTTCCTCAACAGCAAAATCGTCATCCTTATTATCATCATCATCGTTATCATCATCATCATCATCATCATTAACATCGTCATCATCAGCATCATCATCATCATTATCATCATCATCGTCATCATCATTAACATCATCATCATCAGCATCATCATCGTCCTCATTAACATTGTGGCCATTGTAATCATCTCTGTTCTAATTACTGACAGCAATAATGTGGTGGGTGTGCGAGTGGGAGCAAGGGTAGAAGTATATTAGTTCTTCCTTTCTTTCTTTTACTGTAGGGCGTGCCAGTTGGAGGCCACATACTCAATTACTTATTGGAGAAATCCCGTGTCGTGCATCAAGCTAACGGCGAACGTAACTTCCACATCTTCTATCAGCTGCTAGCCGGAGCAGACGAGCGATTGCTACAAAGGCTCCATCTAGTGTCTGATCCTGATCAATATTTCTATCTTAAACAGGTATGTGCTAGGCGTTTGCGATGGGCTGTCTTGTTCAAATACGTTGTAGTTCTATCTGTATCATCTGTACAAATGATGGAATTTTACACGAATGCTGGCAGTAGGTAATTCATGCTAAATGTATGTGATATATGATGTGTTATTGTCATGCAGGGTGGTTCCAGTCAAGCGAGAAGGATCAATGATGAACAGGATTTAAAGGTCGTTAGGCGTGGCTTGGAAGTGGTTGACTTCTCACAGCAAGAGCAAGATGTGAGTAAGAACATCTTATTGTCACCGTAGCTAAAGTTGACATCGTCATCGTCATTTTGGCATGTGGAGCTGTCACGTGCGTTTTTGCTCGTGTGCGATCATGACCGATCTGAGTCGCTTTGGTTACGTTGAGGTATCGTTGTCCTTCACAGGAGCTTTTTGCGATCGTGGCTTCAGTGATTCACATGGGGAACATTACCTTTGAGGAAGAGGATCACATCACTCGCGTGGAGGATGGAGAACACGCCAACGTGGTTGCACAGGTCAGACAGCTGTCATGTCGACTTCAATCCAACCTTACTGTGCATTTATTGAAGTGGAAACAGCTCGATTATTCAAGGTTAATTCAAATTACGTATTTCATGTCTATGGCCAGAGTGTGCGTGGTGTACATAATCTCTTCTGTTACAGTTACTGGGTTGTCCCTTGGATGTACTGAAGCAAGCTCTGACACACAAAGCTATAGAGGCTCGTGGTGAAAAGGTAGAGTGCACTAAGTGCATTGATCACATTAATCATAGTGTTAATTAAGTAACATATAACATTTCTTTTATTATTAGCTCGTCTGACGTAGTCAGGTGCAGCTTGTAGAATTGCATGATTGTCCGTCCGGCCGTCCGTACGTCCGTCAACAGTTGGGCACAAATCTAAACAGCTCGACGTACGGATTCGAAAGTCGGGACGTAGGGAGGTAATCCGAAAACGAGTTGGGATGTCGAAGCTGTGGGTCAAAGGTCAAAGGTCAAGAGGTGTAAAAGAAGGGGGAACATTCCCTTCTTAACTTAAGGTATAGGGAGGAAATGCAGAATTGCGGCACAAATCTAAACGGATTGACCTAGGCTTGTGATAGTCGGTGTATAGCACATCCTGGTAGGAAAAGCCATCACTGTGTCGAAATTGGAGGTCACAGGTCAAAGGTCAATGGGGCACAGGGCAGATTTTAGACATTTTCTGAGGACATGGTCTGACGGAGCGATTGAAAAACTTTTTTGTTTCAGCGGTGACCTAGCATTTTTATGGCTTTATTGAAAGGACCATAAAATGTACTTTCCGCTGACATGCGAAGAGTAAGTGTCGGATAACCTTTTGACCCTCAAGAGGAGGGTTAAACATGGATTTGTTAACTGTTAACAAAGGACTGACCTGCTTTTGCTATTGTGGATGTGAGGCTACAGTTGCACAGTTCAATTGCAAAGGCAAATGTTTGTTGAACAAGGTTTACGCTCCTTAAATCTCATATTATTTTCTAAAGCAGTCTGTATTAGCACCCTGAGTAGCACCCTGTATTAGCACACTGTAATGAACCCTGAATGCTCACGTGGGTAGGCAAAAACATGGGGGCACCCCATTACGCATGCATGGGGGTGAACTGGCACTATTCTAATCATAATTCTTGCCTGGCAACCTGCAATGCAGATGTGTTAACTCACAGTTGAGCGAAATTCTTGCCTGCCTGAATATACTTGGATTTCAGCAACTCAATCCTAGATATATATGCTCTGAGCACGAACGCGGTGATGGGAGGGTGCTCTTCATTCGTTTGCCAGTGAGTTTAGCATCAGAACACTTGCCGTCAGGTGAGCGCTGTCGCTCTGCAGCACTTGTTCATTGTGTTATCTGCTAATCTGAAAATGAATTGTAGACAAGGAAGTTGTGCCTGTCAGTACAGCATATGGATATGTTTACTGTACTCTTCCTCGTAACTCCAAAGATTGAGGAACTGCCAGCATGTTGACAGTGAATGAATGTTTAATCTATGTTGTAGTAGTCATGAATGGTTTCTAAACGCACAGTCTGAGCTGGTTGATAATTATTAACGAGACGCGTGTAGTGTGTCACTTTTTAAAAACTGCATTCGTGTTAAATTAACGTCAAAATATCTATCAATCTAGCTTAATGCTGTAAGCAGAATTCTTTTGATTTTAGCTGTCTAAACGTCTTTGAAGTTCCGACGAGAATTTATAATTAGATATGTCAAGCAATGCATTTCAACATGTATACATCAAGCACCATTCAACTTTAATGGCAAGTTTTCAAACTGCCAGATTATTCAATTGCTTGCTTGGATAAACGAAACCAATTAAATTCTACATGAGTGAGTTCGTGACAAAAATGAGAATATTTAGCCGTGTTATGGAGCAAATGTGAAACTGAGTTTTAAAAATGCGCAAAATGGCCCGTGTCTTGCACTTTCATTAGCTTTGCATTCAGCATGAAGCATTATGAAAGCATTCAGGGCAATGGTCAAGGTTGGAGATAATTTATAGCCAATTATTCTTATCCTGCTTGAATATATATTAGGAACTTATTAACTCTTTTGGTTGCAGATGCATACCCCTCTGAGTCCTGACCAATCTGTCTATGCTCGTGATGCGCTTGCCAAGGCTGTGTATGAACGTCTGTTTACGTGGCTAGTTAACAAAGTCAACTTCTCTCTGGCGTTTGAGGTAAGTAAATTATATAGTTTATTCGGTACAAAACATTTGTCACAAGAGAGTTTCGTCTGCCCTGCCAGTGCACTTGACAAGGTGCAGTAGGCAGGGGATACTAGGCAATGTATATTTACAGTTTTTATGAATTGATTAACTGAATATAATATATTAATATATTTTACGACCTTTGTTTTCAAATATGCAGCACCGGGCAGATAAGCTATCTTATGTGAGTATGAGACATGTGCTAGTGCCAAATAGCCATGTAGCATGAGCTGTGACTGAATAGTATTAAGGATGTGCTGGTTTTCTATTTTTGTTTTTTGTAGCTGCACGTGTAGTTTTGGTTTTGACTGGTTTCACGATGAAAGGATTTTTTTAACAATTTGGGCAATACCCCTGCAACATGCTAGGATATGCATGGTCTCGTGGACGTATTTCTTGCTAGACACCACTTTAATTTGCCAGAAGTAGTTTGTTATCGATTGATTTGTTTTAGGAAATGTACTCCGCGTCAATGGTGCAGGCAGTTCAACCAGCTTTGCTAGATTGCACACCGTTGTTCTATGTTTACTGTGATTTACCAATTAGTTAAGGCTTTTATTCCAATTACTACCCCACTAGTTGCCTTGTGTATGAATGTTATGCTGGCCTGCATTGGCAGCATCCGGAACATCTTGTGGCATGGTAGCCAATCCACAGACTTACAGCCTCTTATATTTAGCCAACATGACTGTTACTAATATGCTGTCTCTCTCTCTGTATCCCTCTCCCTCTCTCCCTCCCTTCCTCCCCCCTCTCTCTGTGTCTATCTCTCCCCCTCTCATTCTCTCTCCCCCACTCTCCCTCTCTCTTACTCTCTCTCTCCCCCACTCTCCCTCTTTCTTACTCTCTCTCTCTCTCCCTCTTAAGCATGCGATCACGTAACAGACTGCTTGAATGACTGGCATGTATAATAGTTTTGACGTGTAACTGGCAGTATTAGTCTACTAGCCACCCCTATGTGTTCTTCATTGAACCTAGAAATGTCGAGTACTATAAGGTTTTATGTTGGAAATGCAATATACAGGTCATAAGGACTCAGAAACTGCCGGATGCTAATTTGCATATGTGTAGCATTTTGCATAATCGGCCTAATTAGCATATTAATTAGGTCAAATTACTAAATCAAGAATATCTTCCTTAGTAATGCACATAGAGACTTCATTCGTGTGTCTAGACCCATGTTTTCGACACTAAGCAATTGATCTGACATGGATTCAAACCCCTACCATCCTTCCGACTGCCAGAAATCCAATATGGCTGCCATGCATAATGAGGTAAACCGTAACATCACCATAACTCAGCAACTGTTGGAAGATAGAGACTTTGTTTTGATGTTTAGACCCATGTTCTTAACACCAAGGATTCCATCGTCTATAGGACTTATATATTTAACAGTAAGTTATTATTATATACGAAAATGTTAAATATTACGATGCAGCTAGATCATGGAATACATAGATGAACACCCAACACCATCAAACTACATACTATTTGCCTTCGTCTTCATGGTTGTGATCATTCTCTCCAGTCTCCAGATCATCTTCTCCTTCCTTCTGCTCTTCATACCCTTCTTCAGCATCATCTCGTTGTGTCAGTGAGTTACAACACTCATTTCCTCCTTCACACACACACAGTAGCAGACCTGTACATGACAATCCAATTTGCTGCACAACCACACTTCCTGCTGCGTGCAATTCCTCCTCTGCTCGCGCAGCCTGCAGCTAATGACGTCCATCGAGGTTTTTTGGTGCGGTAGGTTCTTTTGACAGCACTGGTACCACTTCATCATTTAACGTAACTTTCCATCCATAGTTAGTGATTTGCGGACAGCAGGAGGGTCAGCCTTGTCCGCAGCCTTCCATAGCATCATTTGGAGATGTGCTCTCCGGATATGGAATCCCAGGTTGATGTCTGTTGGTGGAAGGGACTTCACGGATAGAGGATTCTTTCGCTTGCGATAAAAGTGGGATGGATCCGTGCTTGCCATCAATGCCACTGTCACCAAGCTCGGGAGAAATGCAAAAGAATATTGGGAATGCACGCACTCTCAGGCTGTGACACTGTGTCCTATCCTAATGGGAAAGGGAAAGTGTCCGCCCTGAAAGTGCTCAACCAGACTGATATTGCTGGACTAAACTCAGTTCTTGGAGAGAACGATGTCACTGACAGTGACCTGATGGCAACTGGCAAAGCCTTCTTCCTACATTTATATGGCCAGAAGAAAAGCACGTCAATGAATGCTTCCAGGTACGAGATTATCGCAAGCGAAAGAATCCTCCATCCGTGAAGTCCCTTCCACCAACAGACATCAACCTGGGATTCCATATCCGGAGAGCACATCTCCAAATGATGCTATGGAAGGCTGCGGACAAGGATGACCCTCCTGCTGTCCAAATCACTAACTATGGATGGGAAGTTACTGTAAATGATGAAGTGGTACCAGTGCTGTCAAAGAGACCTACCACACCAAAAAACCTCATGGACGTCATTAGCTGCAGCTGCCGAGCAGAGGGGAATGCCTGCAGCAGGAAGTGTGGTTGTGCAGCAAATGGATTGTCATGTACCTGCTACTGTGTGTGTGAAGGAGGAAATGAGTGTTGTAACTCACTGACACAACGAGATGATGCTGAAGAAGGATATGAAGAGCAGAAGGAAGGAGAAGATGATCTGGAGACTGGAGAGAATGATCACAACCATGAAGACGAAGGCGAATAGTATGTAGTTTGATGGTGTTGGGTGTTCATCTATGTATTCCATGATCTAGCTGCATCATAATATTTAACATTTTCATATATAATAATAACTTACTGTTAAATATATAAGTCCTATAGACGATGGAATCCTTGGTGTTAAGAACATGGGTCTAAACATCAAAACAAAGTCTCTGTCTTCCAACAGTTGCTGAGTTATGGTGATGTTACGGTTTACCTCATTATGCATGGCAGCCATATTGGATTTCTGGCAGTCGGAAGGATGGTAGGGGTTTGAATCCATGTCAGATCAATTGCTTAGTGTCGAAAACATGGGTCTAGACACACGAATGAAGTCTCTATGTGCATTACTAAGGAAGATATTCTTGATTTAGTGATTTGACCTAATTAATATGCTAATTAGGCCGATTATGCAAAATGCTACACATGTGCAAATTAGCATCCGGCAGTTTCTGAGTCCTTATGACCCTGTATATTTCATTTCCAACATAAAACCTTATAGTACTCGACATTTCTAGGTTCACTAGGCTGGCTAGTAGACTATATAGGAAGATGTGTATGACTATGTGATCAGGAATGCATTGACATGGCTAACAGGAGCTAACCGGAGTACCCATGATGATACGCAGGGGCGGATCAAGAGGGGGGTCGAGGGGGTCCGGACCCCCCCTTTTTACCACAAAAAAAGAGAAAAAAGCATACACACGCACGCACGCGCGCGCGCGCACACACACACACACACACACTTCTTTTATATTGTCTCCATAAAAAAATCTTGTGTAGCGCTAGTTTTTCTGGTAAAGATTTACTTATATATATGTAAATTCGTTATAAAAACCTAGAAATGGGCAAAGAGGGGTCGGCAGGCGTCCGGGGGACCGGATCTGATAAATTTTTGCATTCTAGACATCAAAATTACTGCTCAGATGATCTCAGAATGCACCAATTTTTAAAAACAATCCCCCCCCCCTAAGTGGCCTTCGGCAGCTTTTTAAAAACACCAGAAAAAGGAAACCCTAATACGATTATCTATGTCTGATATTGTTTCAATAAAATTTTGCTTTGTCGACTTAAAATTTAATACAACGACATTTTCCGAAGCATCGCGTGCTCTATGCGGTCGCAATAAGACTTCCCTCCGAAGAAAAAAATATGTATGCCACCATTCATAATGACATGTGACTGTTACGTGACGACCAGGACATAGCAGTCCTCGCGTGCTTGCTCTGTGTATTGACCGCTGCTGTCTGCTGCTGTACACAGGAGCAGCACGGTCAGACCGTGATGGGACTGCTGGACATCTACGGCTTCGAGATCTTCGACGTGAATGGCTTCGAACAGTTCTGCATCAACTACTGCAACGAGAAGCTGCAGCAGCTGTTCATCGAGCTGACGCTGAAGTCAGAACAGGACGAATACCTGAGGGAGGGCATCGAGGTGAGCTGAAGCTGCACTAGCCTTATATGTTAGGCTCTAATCATATGTTAACCTTTGATGTTTAGGCCATAATAAAAATATTGTTTGTTTGCCTTCACCCGACCGACCCGCCAAAAAGGGGCCGACTCAAACAATTTTATTGATCTTTCCCATTCATTTTTAGCTCACCTTGACATCGTCAAGCTGAGCTATTGCCATGGGTCGTCGTCCGTTGTGCGTCCGTCCGTCCGTCAACATTTCGCTTCGGTCAACGATAACTCAGGAACCGTTTGGCCCACATGTTTGAAATTGGGTATAGTTGTTACTGCTGTGCTCCCATATTAAACGTCCTATTTTGAAGCACGCCAGTCGATGTACTTTTGAGCCACGGCAATTTTTTGGCAAAAATGGGAATTGCCATTAGTCAGTTCAGGTTCAACGGATTTTGCTCATTTTTGGTATGTGAATGAATAAGGGCTAGGGGTTTTGATATTTAAAAAAAATTATGCAAATTAGGTAGGGTTTGGCAATTATATAGCATATTATATAGACACAAACAGTCTGTGGTGTCACACTTGTCTCGTTCGTTTTACAAGATTTCATTGACAATATCTTTAATGTAAAATTGGTATTTCCTTTCCACCCTGCCGATAAAACGTCTATATTAGAGTAAAGATTTACAAAACATGTTGGAACACAGCATAACCTATTTATTTCAAACGCCATCGCTACAAAGCGGGTATAGCGCCATCTACGGTCACAAATTGTGATTCATTTTGGTTTATAAATTATTATTGCGATATACAGATGGCAATCGTTTCTATAATGTACGTCGATGGTTGCTCAATTAAAACTGACTTCTTCTTACTCCCTCATTTGTGTCCTTTTTTGTGGTGAGCTACAGTGTCATTGACACTTTCATTTTTTTACAAATTGAATCACTGTACATTATATAAATTTGTGGGCAATACATTATATGTACCAAGCAAAACAAACATGCAACATAAAAGGTATCTCCACACAAGCACACGCCAGCATGTAGACCCCATACTGAAAATGACACCCCCAAAAAAGCCTACCTACCTAGCCAAACTATTTCAGCCTGGGTCGGGTGAGGGCAAACAAATATGTTTTTAATTGTGGCCTGAAGCTGCACTAGTCTTCTTTGTGGAGCATAGAGAAACAAGCTGCAGGCCACAGTTTAACAGACGAGGTTCGAAATTTAAGGGCAGCGAACAGCAGTTCTATAATCTATTCCATAATAATATTGTCTCACTTTCAGTGGGAGCCAGTGGAATACTTCAACAACAAGATTATCTGTGACTTAATTGAGGAGAAGCATCGAGGCATAATTGCTATATTGGACGAGGAATGCCTGTTGCCGGGGGAGACCACAGACGCTACTTTCTTATCCAAGATGGAGGACACAGTTGTACATCCGCACTTCCGAGATCACAAGGCAGCCAGGAAGGAGATCTCCAGAGAGGTTAAGATGGAATTGTTTTTTATGAGGAGAAAACAGCTCTAGTACAGTAACGTGTCCTGCGATTTTTAGTTTAGCGACATTTTGGCTTTGCACGTGGCGTGTATACTTTTATCCACATTATTTCAGTGTCTTATATTGAGTCTGTTCTTCCTCACAGGAGTTTCAGCTGAAGCACTATGCCGGCGATGTAACGTACAGTGTGACCGGCTTCCTAGACAAGAACAACGATCTCCTGTTCAGAAGTCTAAAGGAAGCCATGATAGAGACGACTAATAGCATCACCTCCACCATCTTCACAGCTGCCGAGATGGAGAGCAAGAAACGGCCGGAAACGGTGAGAATTCTGGTGACGACTGCTCCGACATCATCTACACACGCACCCTCTGTCTCGTACACTGACGCTGTCGATGACTCAATGACCAGCGTCGTTCGTCGATGCAGAGCCACTGTGCTAATCCCGCTCTTCTCTTACTCTGCTTCCAGGCGGGAACACAGTTCAAGACGAGTCTTTCACAGCTGATGGTCATCCTCATGTCGAAGGAGCCGTCGTACATCCGCTGCATCAAGCCGAACGACGCTAAGCGGTCGGGCATCTTCACGGAAAAGATCGTCCGGCACCAGGTGAAGTACCTGGGTCTGGTCGAGAACCTGCGGGTGCGGCGCGCCGGCTTCGCCTACAAGCGCAACTACGACTTCTTCGTGCATCGGTGAGCACCGTCGCCTCGAGATAGTTTATACAGGGTTTCTTATACATAAGAGGCACAGTGGCGCACCGCCATTGTCAAATTTAACATCGCCGTTGTGAAAATGTTCAAATGCAGGTAAGACATTCAAATTTTTTAAATTTTGCTAGGGGAAGACCCCCCAGAACTCCCGCATCTGCATGCGTGCCTACGACACACCTTTGAATCCATCATGCGTGTTTTTTCCCAAACTGACCATTACCTCCTTTGTCTAATTTTCCCTCAGAATAAACCCTGTTATAATGTCGGTCGTTACACGATGGCTGAGCTAGCAGTGTGACAGCGCTTGGGGTGAGCTTCTCAGATGAATCTTTGCAAATGTATTCGTGTTTAGATTAACAGTATGTTCACTGTCGATGCCAGGGGTTTCTATCGTCGCGTGTATTGTGTGGTATGTGTGGTATGTGTTGTATACAGGGAAAATGCATAGGTAAATTTCACACGTCACTGCATTGGCGCGTCGCTAAAATGATGTAAAATATAATGGTGTAGGGAATATTTGTGCCAACTTCTGCGATAAAATATTTGAACACCGATTTCCATAGAAGTGTATAGTTTAGTGGCGTAAATCACAATGTAAACTCATGTAGCCACTAAGCCACCATCACGGATTATCTTGCATTGCCCATAGTCACAAGAGTATGAGTCAGCGATCCATGGTCAATTAACAGGAAATTACGCACGATATCATTTCCCATTTTCCAGCACTAGATAGTTCTTCCAGCACTAGATAGTTCTTCCAGCACTAGATAGTTCTTCCAGCACTAGATAGTTCTTCCAGCACTAGATAGTGCTGACATCCTTCCTCGTCTTATTTCTCAGGTACAAGAGTCTTTGCCCGGCTACGTGGCCGAGCTTTAACGGTCCGGCGAAGACGGGGGTGCAGCTCATCTGTGAGCACCTCGGCTACAACCCCAGCTCTTACAAGCTCGGCCGCACAAAGATATTCGTGCGAAGCCCGCGTACGCTGTTTGAGACAGAGGATGCCCTGCAGCAGAGGAAGCATCAGCTCGCCTGTCTCATACAGGCCAAGTTCAAGGGCTTCAGGCAGAGGCGAGCCTACGTGAGCATGCAGCTTGCAGGTACGCATGCACAGACGTTTCGTCAACAACTTGACAAAATTTTATTTTTTGGAATTCTAAACTTGGATGATAGTTTTTTTTTAACGGCAACAGTCATTTTTGTTTATTTAAAAATGTCACCTTTAAGCCTCGTTATTGAGAGCGTAGCCCATGGGTATTACATCAGTGTGAGCGTTGATGTGGGATTGATAGGGCTGTGAGGGGAGTGACAAGTGCAGGGGAGTTCGACAAGTGCAATACAGACGTGACGGTAATCAGGGGTGTGGGGGGGGGGTCAAAGCGGCAATGTTTTATGAGAAGGGTTGATTCTCCGAGCTGATTGTCGGTACTTTTCCTAACTACTGTTACAGTGACGTGCATCACCAAGTATTGGAGGAGAGTACTAGCTAAGCGACTGCTCGCCAGGCGGCGCCACGCTGCGATCGTACTGCGGAGATTTGTGAAGGGTTTCATGACCCGTCATGAGCCGCCGTGTGAGGCCAATGCCGAGGTGCGCGATATTACCGTACCTGTGTCAACACGTAGTCCATTCTTTATTCCTATTTATTTTTTATAGTCCCTATTTCTATTTCCTGTTTATTTTTAATTAATGTAGATGTATGTTCTTTATCAACAACGCGTGCAGTTCTAGTAGGAAAGCAGCGTAAGAAAGCAGCGCACACTTGTGGTTTGCTTTGCCGTCGTTATCGCCGACAACATTTTCGCTCGCTCGTTAACCCCGAGTTTACGCACTGCTATTTCACAGTTTCTGCAGTACGTGAGGAGAGAGTACCTGCTGAGACTGAGCAGGAAACTGCCGAGATCTGTGCTGGATAAGGTGTGGCAGCCCTGCCCGAGAGCCGTCAACGAGACAGACGTGCTGCTGCATCCGTTATGCACGCGGACGCTCGTGCGAAAATACGTGCGCTCACTATCTCCAGAAAGGAAGAACCAGGTGTGTTTGATGGTGTATGCATTTAGTAGGTTCAAATTCAAATTCAAATAAAATTTATTTTCATCGGTATAAAAATTACAGGAACATGAGCTGTATTTAGCTCGTAGACCGATATCTAACATGAGCAATATACAAAATTTACATTTAAAACAAAATAGGATGATATGATTATGAATATTTACAATGCAAATGATGAGAAAGGATGACTAGTAATTTAAAGTCTAGTCAAATAAAAGAAAAAAGGAACTAGATTAAAATTGATGATTAGGTTTGATGATTAGGGGGCACTGGAGCGACACATGGAACATTTGCAGGTTAGAAGTATTCCAGTTTTTGTGTTTATTCGTTGTATTTTGGCAACGAAAATATATGAGCAGGGCCAATGTTTAAAATGCAATGTGCTGTTGTTTCAATGCATTATTGTCAAGTATTGTTACATGACACGTGTACCAAATAGCAGAATGGCTTGTATTATCCAATACTGCACTGACGAATTTCGAGATTATTTCATTTGAGAAAATACTGACTTAATTGGTACATAGTTTTAGTATTATTTCCACAGTTAATATTCTAGGTTTGAATGAAATTATTTATGAATAAAATCAGCTGCATTACTTGCGTTAGTTCCTAGATACGCACCAACCGATATGTTATTATGGGGAGATGATTGCCTTGAAGATCACTGTTAGCCTTTGACTGCTAAGGTGCAGTTTTTTTTCAGACAAAAAAGTACACTGTGGGTCAAAATTTCTAACAACTTATTTTCGAATTTGTAATCGATGTCATTTGCTTTTTTTAAGCTGGAACAGAAAGTGGTGGCTGAAGCCATCTTCCGTGGTAAAAAACAGAGCTACCCAGCCAGCATCATGGATTACTTTCAGGATCACCGACTACCAGATAACATGGCACAGTCACAATTCGAAACAAAAATTAAACCCGGGGATGAGAAAACAATGGTATGAAGCAATTCTGATGTATGTGCGAGATGCAGTTCTCAAGTGGTTATCTAAAGTTTGTGCTATAAATATGACATTTTACTGAAATGTGGAATTTTATGAAAAATTATCTGTTACAGTATTCCACCATGGTAACGAAGTATGACCGACATGGTTACCAGCCGCGCAACTGGATGCTTTTCGCAACCAACAGTGCCATCTATCTGCTGGATGAGAAAAGTTTTAAGCTGAAGCACAGGATTCCATACACGACCATTAAAGGTACTTCTTGTTATGTAAAAAGAACAGTCAACTATGTTCAGTTCAGCAGAGAATATTGATGTACTATCTAACAGTGCTTGCTGTACATTGCCATCTAATGATGCGAATAAAGTCACTTTTGTATATTTATAATTAAGTGTCAACAATTCTCACTATTCACAATTATTGACATGAACCCTTTTAGATAAAAAAAATTAATAAAGCAATAAATTACTAAGAGATTAATATAATGTGATATGCTAATTGTTATATTTTCAGGGATCTCAGTCAGCTCTCTAACAGATTCTGTGTTTGTTATACACATTCCTACTGAGAACAAGAAAGAAAAGGTTAGCAAACAGTTGATATTCAAAATTGTTGTTAGTGGGTTTGGGATTGAAACGGTTGCTTTGATTTTAAACACTGTATCGTTTAACATAGTTTAAGGTATATCTTTTATGCATTATCATTACATGATTTTTCCTCTATGCATTTCTTCTTTGGCGCTCATGTTTAATGCAAATCTTCATATTGTGTGATGTCTTGATCATCATGTGTGCCACCTTTCATCTTCCAGAGTTTTCTACCTCATACTCGATCTATCTTTTCTTATATATATATATATATATATATATATCTGTACTGTATCCATACCTGTTCTATTAATGCTACTCAGGATACACAGGCAGATGCATTTGTTCACAAGGTATATTTCTACCATCCTTGACAATGTTGGCTCACTGTTGCATGCACATGTCAAACATGTGTTTCCATGCTGTATGTGTCCGAGTTTCTAGTATGTTGCCTGAAGGTGTTGGCCTTCCATCAGGGAATAGAATGTTCACGTGTGAATATGTTGATGTGTATGTGTGTATGCCATATACAGTCCAACATTTGACATTAATTCTGTTGAATTGTGCACTTCAGTTATTATGATTGCTTTCAATTAGAAGGTTGTATTTTTCGTAATTCTTGTTTTCCACCTTGCTCATAACCGTGTATGAATAGCATTCTGCATGTTTTACATTAATTTTATTCATTAAGATTGAACACACCAAGTGTTTTGGTTGAAAGCAATCTTTTGAAAAATTACATAACAATTAATTTATGTGTAATATTCCAAGTTTGGTGGTCATAATTTACATATTCCATAGGGGCGACAATCTATAACTAGAGTCATTGCAATGTGGATTATCACTGTATAAAGGAAGATTAGTGATGAGATTCCGGAAGGGGGTAGCTAGGATTTAATCAATGATCTTGTAGATTTATATACACACAGGGGACCAGTGTGTCACGTTCTGTTAGGTTTTCGCATTGTGACCATCATCTACCAATTACAAGTGGAGTAACTTTGCAGTGCCATTCACAACATATCCCATCACTCTCAGAGCTCTTATTGCTATTAGCTCGAAAATCTTTCATACTGAATCTAGCATACCAATCTTACATATTTTATGTTTCATCCTGCAGGGTGATGTGATTCTGGAGAGCAAATGGCTCATAGAGACGGTCACAAAAATCTGCATCGTCTCCCGAAAGCTGGACATGGTCCATCTGGAGGCTAGTGGAAGGTCAGTAGCAATGCTCTCAGCCAGTAGTGGGATTTTTGTTTCCTATGAAATCATCCAAAGAATCTTATAATCTTATAGTGGAGAATCTCGTGGAGAAATCTTATAGAAACTGGTCATCAGATTTGTGATTGCAGAGTATATTTTTATGTTTGTGTTTCATGTGATAGAAAGTCGTTTATTTGAATAATTTTTACCTTCGGCATGAGCGTATTTGCATTTAGAAGTCATCTTAAACCTGTTTATTGATTTTTTGTAGTGGTCATATTGCTGTGCTTTTTATAACAGCTGTGTTGTTTTCGGTCTGCTGTGCGCTCCACAAGGACCTCTATGGTTTGGTCGAATTGGTTTGTTTATATATAATAGTTGTGCATGTGTTAGATTGCTCATTGCTGCATGTATTTTAATGGAATTAAACTGCAATTGCACCTTGCATTACAGCATTTCGCACACTATGGCAGACGGCAAGATGGGAGTAATTGAATTCCAGATGGGCGAAGAACCTTCGATAGCAAAATCTAAGACTGGTAACCTGACCGTGGTGAGTAAACGTAGGCAATTACTAATAGAAGCTGTGCTTAAAAGTTGTACTTTCCCGCATCGTTGTAAGCAACTCCAAGTTATTTAATAATCAAGACAAAATTCTTCACCAGTTTACCTAAAACCATGGGGATAATGAACTTTGTTCTGTGGGAGCCTTTTAAGTATATGTACTTTCATTTATTTACTATTGAAATGCAAGTTTTCCATCAGTAGACTGAATAATTGACTGTCATTGTGGTGGAACTCATGTGTTGCCTATTAATCCATAATGTTAATTTTTCTAATCTTCCAGGTTACTGCTTCCAACGGTTACGCCAATGGATTCTGAACAGCATTTGATTGAGTACTCCAGTCCAAGTCTGTGGAGTGGATGTATATGTCACCTGACTGTGTATAAGCCCAACTTGCATTAAAAAATGCCTTCTGATATGTTCCAGTCATCAGGTCATGAACGTTTTCCCACCATAAAAATGCTTATAATTTATTTTGCCTACATAAACAAACCACAGTTATTCACTGGAGTTGTAGGGGACTTGGAGAATCACCTTTTGTTGTTAATCAACAGAATGAGCATGGTGCCAGAGCTGGTGCAATGTGTGTTCAGAATTAATAAATGAAATGCTTCTCCTTACTTTGTGTACAGTGAACAAGATAGATTCCTGTCATATTTGCTCTAGACAGTTTTGTAGTTAATATAATATTGTTTTATAATCCGGTGTTTTATATATTTGTTACTGAATTGCAACATATTGAAGTCATGAGCAGCTGTACATTATATAACTGCTAACATCAAATGTAGTTGCTCTTTTACTTGTGACATATCGGTTATCGTATCCTCCCTGTGGTTGTTTAAATTTCTGTTTACGTTCCGTGGACCTATTTATTGTTCGTTAACTGCCAGTCTTAGTCCACATACAACTCGTGTTGTAGAAAATTTATAGCTGCATAGACCTTTCTGTAGCATGGTGGAGTCTGTGTTATACTTTGTACTCTTATATAGCAATTCAAGAAACATTGAATGTGAATATAAATTTATTTGAAACATACACCCTAAATGATCATGTGCAGAAAGAATTGTAATAAATATGCTACCAAATTGTTATTTATGAATAAGATTGCATAAAGTGACATAGATAAAATAAATGGAAAAATTACCAAGATAGTTTGTGACACATCCCTTGCTCCTAATTATGACAACCTGGTTTTTGCATTTGTTACCACTCTGGTCACTTTTTGTTGTATATACACAGACACATTGTTGTATACATGCCTTATATTACTGTATATTGTGGACTGATTTTATTAACTGCTAGATTTGTATTGATTTATCTGTCATACATTTCGTAATAAAGTAGCTTTTGATGAATGTAATAATTACATATTTTCTTGTGCATAACAACTAGGCATAGTCACCTTAGCTCTGCCTGTAGGTGTGGTGCTATGGTGACATTTTGCAACACACATACTGTACAGTACGAAGAGCACTTAATATTTTTCTACTATTGCGGTGCAATATTTGTTACGTGTTCATGTCCATAATGATGTAATGCAACGACTTCTCTAGAAACAAAATGTGCATCTAAAAATCAGTTGCACCTTGAGAATAGAATATAACATGTAAAATAACATATATATAATACATTATAACAACGTACCATAATTATTATTCTCAGCAGAATATAACCCGTATACATATAAGTTTTATCCAAGTGAGTTCAGCTCCTGTACCAAAGGAAGTTACTAAAGAGTTATAAATAGCCTTCTTAACAGCAACAAGGATTCCACACTTGCAGTTACAATCATTTCAATAAATATTAAAGTTTATATCGGGAAAACACCTTGGATGAAACAGAGTGCTCCAATTTAGATGCATTGCAATCCTGTAATCCCAAAGCAATCGAAATTAAACGTCCAGCAGTAGAAAGTCGTACGTGTAAATCTGGCTGGGTTTACACTATCGACTTTATGCAGGCAACTAGGCGGTTTTTCTTCTTTCTACCAACATCTCTATATATGTTGAAAGCGATCCGTTATCAACCGCGAGGCGGCAAACGTTTCAACATATGACCCGGCGTGTGGCTCATAGGGTCTATGTCCCCCAGGGTACTGCCGGAACGTACCCTGGCCCGGTCCGGTATACCGGAACGTACCCTGGTAACTATTTGATATGGTTAGGGTTAGGGTTAGGGAGTAGGCGTAGGCAACTCCCTAGACTCGTTAGTGGAGTAGGCGAGGTACGGTCCGGCATATTAGATAGTACCAGGGTACGTTCCGGTGTGCCAGACCGTACCCAGGGTACGTTCCGGCAGTACCCTGGAGGACATAAACCCTCTCAGCCGTAGTGTGCACATGAGGCGACTCGGATACGCATTTTTCCATGTATTCCATGCTGCCAGCATGGCGCCTAAAGCACAAACGTGCTCTCCCCCTAGGTGGACAGACACACCTCCTAATTGCTGTTCTACGAGTGGCCAGCATGGCAAAAACCTATACAATTCAGCAATACCGAGTTGGGCAAATAGAATATGTTCTAATCGTCCAACCAGTTGTTAGTAAACAGTTGCTCACGCGACTTTTGCGTTTACACTGCCGCTTGTACAACTGCAAAGTTCGTATAATTCGCCAATTTCACTGCATAAAGTCGGTAGTGTAAACCCAGCTTAATACAATGTTTAATGTGTAATAAACGTGTAATTTGCACACCCATGCACACACGTACGTACGTACACACGCACGTACGCACGCACGCACGCACGCACGCACGCACGCACGCACACACACACATTACTCAGTATTAAATGAGCAAATAAAAAACAGATCAGTGTCACAATATTATTTACAGTCAGATTAACTAATGGCATA